TGGAACTCCTGAAGAAGCTCGTGGAGATTGTGGAGGGCAGTATCACGAGATCGTCGCTGACCTCGGCGGAGGCAGAGGACGACTTCGACGACAAGCAGTTGACGATCAAGCAGATCATCGGGATGTCGCTGCCAGCGGACATCTTTCACCAAGTGCGCGACAAGACCACCGGGACGGACATGTGGAAGACGCTTTGCGTGATCTACGAGGGCCGGGCAAACAAGACGACCATGGCTCATCGCGCAGAGAGCATCCGGCATGAGCTGGGGATGATTAAGCTGTCACCGGGTGGAGATGTTAACAAGCATTTAAGCAAGATGTTTAATTTGCGGACGGAGTTGCTTTCGTTGAACTAGCAGTTTGATGATGTCGCCATGGTTGAGCTGATGCTGAACAGCTTGCCGCACCAGTACAGATTTGAGAGTCTGAAGAGTGGAGTGCGCTACAACAGCGCAGATGACTTCATCACGCCAGAGCGGACTCGCGAGCTGATTCGTGTTGCGGACTCTCGTCAGAAGGCATACCAGACCAAGAGCGGGACTGGACAACGCGGTAACCAGAAGATTGGTGTGACTAGCGGGGCTGGCAGTAAGGTGAAAACTGGAAATGGTGAGGACCAACAACTGGGTGGCAAATTGAAGGACTCAAAGAAGAAAAGACCCAAGAAGTGCTTCATTTGTGGGGGCACCGAGCACTTGAGGGCTGAGTGTCCTGATCGAGTGGAGGGCAACCACGGGGGCGGAGCTAATACTAATGAGCAGTAGCGGAAACCACGTGCGAACATGACGACTCGGCACGATGCGAGCCGTGATGCAGATTCGTCCAGCGAGAACGATGAGCTTGGAGACTCGGCGAGTCGGCTGGACGCTCTGATAATTGATGCAGGGTTGTCAGCTGATTCTGGTGATGCTGAGAGACTAGCGACATCGGAGGATGAGGAAGTACAGGAAGGGAATGACTCTCTTGGCCGTCATACCACCAGCCAACATGCGCGTGACCATGACGAAGGCGAAGCAAACACCAGCAGTGGCTTGTGGTACTTCGACACCACCGCGAATGTGCACGTGACAGGGAACCCCTGGTACTATGTTGCCTTTACTCCGGATCCGAGTCAGTCCCAGCATATTCAAGGCGTGACTGCTGCTTTGGCATCGCGAATTGCTGGAGTAGGCACGGTAGCGCTGATTACTATGGTTGATGGAGAACAAGCTACAGCGACTCTGAACGATGTGTTTTACGTGCCTGGTGCTACGCACGGATTGTTTCCATTGGACTAGCTGCTGAGCAGGGCTTTGATTTTGATTATGATCGTCAGTCACGGGACTTTCGAGTGCAAGATGAAGGAAGGACAGTGATTGTGGCAAGTCCACATGAGGCATCGTGGGGATTCCAGGTTACCCACCCGTCTAATGGTGATATCGTCGGACCGCAGGACCAGCTTCTGAGCAACTTCACGGCTGCGGACGGTGTGGCATCGCTCAGGCTGTGGCATGAGCGGCTGGGTCACACTTGCCCCTAGTATCTGAAGGTGATGGTCGACAAAGGGCTCGTGCGTGGCATGCTGATGAAGCAGCGCGACCTTGGCGCCTGTGACGCGTGCCACATCGGCAAGCAAAAGAAGAAGCCGCAAGAAGGTCGAGCGGAACACGAAAACGCCAAACCAAGTGGTCTACGCGGACTTGCTGATCCCGAGCAAGGACAACGGTACTCGCTTCGAAGCTGTGCTCGTCATCATGGACGGATTCTCCAGATTCGTGACGCTGCACCTGCTTACGAGTAAGTCTAGCGAAGTGGCGAACCGACACATCAAGGAGTATGTGTTGTGGGCAGAAAGACAAGCTGGTCGACACAAGGTTCGTCAAGTTTTGACGAGAACCCTCCACGTCAAATACAAAGTTTGCCAAATCCTGACAGACAAGGGTGGTGAATTTGTTGACACGGAGATGGAGTTGTGGTATAAGGCTCATGGTATCGAGCATGTTCTGGTTGGCCCGAAGAGTTCGCAGTTGAACTTATGCGAGCGGACTCATCAGTCTCTCGTGGAGATGATGAAAGCGTCGATGCACGATGCTGGATTTCCTAAGAGTCTGTGGCCTGAGGCTCTACGGAACGCGGTGTATATCAAGAACCGCATCTACAACAAAGGCACAGGTGGGGTCCCGTATGAGATGCTGTTTGGTGTGAAGCCTGACTTGCATCACGTACGCAAGTTTGGGGCGCTCGCATACGTTCACGTACCGGCCACACCAGGAAGGAAGAAGCACCATGACAATGCCAGATTGGGTTTCGTACTCGGCTACGCTGAGGACGTGATAGGCTGTAAGGTGTATTTCCCGGACAATTGCACGGCAAAATTTGTGTCGGACCTCCGTGTTGCAGAGGATGTGATGTACCGCGACAACTGTGGAGGAAGATGACTTCGAGTCTTTGCACTTTGTGCAATCTGGTGAGATCGTCGAGGACGACGACGCTGTCTTGACACTCTATGAGTCTACTATGGAGTTGGAGGCAGAAGGCAATACTGCCGCCGCGCCATCGGTGCACGAGATCATGACCGGACCGACCGTGGATCTCGAGAGAGGCGAGATGTGTGGCGCTCCGTGTGGCACTCCGAGTGCAGCTCAGACGAGTGCAGCTCCAAGTGCAGCTCCAAGCGCAGAGGCAAGTGGAGATTTGAGTGCACTTCCGAGTGGCAGTGGCCGCTCACGCACAGATACCAGGGAGGCGTCTCGAGCGACACCAGCTAGCAGTGTGGCGGATGTTGGTGGAGTGACGGCAGCACTACCCAGTGAGCCTGCAGAAATACGAAGTACGCAGATAGAAACGCAGTGTGAGCTTGATGAATTGCAGAGTGAGCTTTTGACTGGGAGTCAGGATGATCGTCCGAGTGATGACACGGAACCAGAGCAGCACTCATCCGTGATAGACTCAACTGGAACTATTGATTCACCACCCAAACACGATGTTGCTGCAACGTCCGATCCTGCATCTTGTGATGGTAGCGAGTCGGTTGCTGGTCAGTGTGGATCTGACGTAGGCGACACGGAGGAACTTGATGGTGGAAATGCAGTGGCTGCTGAAGAGGAACTTGACGATGAGGAAGCGACTACTGTTGTGAGTGTTTGTGGAAAATTGATGGGGAAACGTCAACGTGACGAGACCCCTTCTGAGGAGATTCGTGTAGAGCAGAGTGCTGAGGGCAGGAGCCAAAGCGAACTCGGCGCACTGGGCTGCGCGAGTATCATGAGCGTCGGCGCCCGGCCTACCTGCGGGACTATGTGATGAATGTGACGCAGAACACGTCACGGGTGTTGGATCAGAATAGCCGTCCGATCCGAGCAAGTGATGTACGCGTTCCTCGCAACCGCAGGGGGTCTCGACGTAGCAAGTACCGGGAGTTCTTCATATAGGCAGAGCTGGAGGAGATGGCTGCGATGAGGGCACAACATGTTCTGGAGGAGGTCGCCATCGAGGACGTGCCCAAGGACGCAAAGCCAATCAAGACGAGATTCGTGTACGATATCAAGACGGACCACCAAGGCTACGTAATTCGCTTTAAGGCGAGGCTGGTTGCACTTGGCAACTGCCAGCGCCCTGGAATCGATTTCGGTGATACGTTCTCGCCTGTGGCTCGTATGTCTTCGTTTCGTTTGATGGTTGGACTAGCAGGAGCACTGAATCTGACGCTCTATGGCGGAGACATCAATACAGCATACCTGAACGCGAAGCTAGGAATACGGCAGTATGTGAGGTCGATTGAGGGGTTCCCCTGTGAAGTGGATGGACACATCTACGTGGTAGTGAAGGCATTGTATGGGTTGAGACAGTCTGGACGTGAATGGAACACCGAGTTGAACCGGTGGATGCTGGATCATGGCTATCAACGGTCTTTGACTGAACCCTGCCTGTACTATCATGTTGACGGTGAGGAGATCATGTTGGTTTTGGTCTATGTGGATGACATCTTGGTGGCGACCAAGGATGAAAAGCAGAAGGAGAAGTTGTTCGAAGACCTGGACAAGGAGTACGGACTCAAGGACCAGGGACTTTTGACGCAGTATCTCGGGGTGGAAGTGGAGCAAACCGCTGACCGCTTCATCATCCGCCAGAGCAAGTACGCTCGAGAAATTTTGGAGAACTTTGGCTACGTTGAGGCACACTCGGTGGGGAACCCGAAGGAGGTGAATGCCCGCCTCGTGCCGCTTGGTGATGCTGAAGAAAGCGACACCAGCTTTCCATATCGAGAGGCAGTGGGTATGTTAATGTATCTGGCCACTAGTACCCGACCTGATTTGGCGTTCGCACTGAGCCAGCTGAGTCGCTTTGTAGCAAAGCCATCCAGCAAGCATGTTGAGGCTCTGAAACGAGTCCTACGGTACCTCGCAGGTACCGTGAACTATGGAATTACGTATGACCGACAGTCGAGCGAGTCGAAGACTGTGGTGCTTGAGGGCTACTGCGACAGTGACTGGAGACCCGCAAAAGCACGACAGGTTTCGTGTTCACGCTGGCTGGTGGGGCGGTATCCTGGATGTCGAGACGCCAATCCATCGTCGCTCTATCTACGGCTGAGGCAGAGTACGTGGCCGCCTGTGAAGCGAAAATGGAGGCAGTTGCAGAAAGCAACATTCTGCAGGAAATACTGCCACACAAGTGTCTGAAGCTGCGCATTGGTATCGACAACCAAGCCGCGCACATCATGGCTACGAATCCTACCTACAGCCGTCGCACCCGGCACATTGAGTTGCGCTGGCACTTTGTGCGCGAGCAAGTTGAACGAGGCGTGATTGAACTGCACAATATAAGAGGTGAGGTGAACCCCGCTGACACTTTCACGAAGCCGTTTGACAAGCTGCGGCAGAACATGCTGGGGCTGGCCGGCATTGGTGAATGCGTGTTGGAATGCACATTGAAAACCAAGTTGAAGGTCAGAGTTGAGACCCGGGCGAAAGCTGAGACTAGGTACCTGAGAAGATTAGCAGAGCTGAGAGCTGCGGGTCGTTGCATGAGAAACGGGCTCAAGCCCGAGAGTAGTGGTAAGAGCTGGGAGGCTCAGCCATTCAATCTTTTCCTTTTTTTCCTACTAGTGGTGGCTCCAGGCCGTACGGACCAACAAGTGCACCATCCAAAACCGTGAGGTGATGCCGTCTCTCGAGAACGCGTTCCAGTGAGCTCGGTACCCCGTTCAACTCGACAGGAATCGTCAAGAATCGCGGCTACATCTACATCGACGACATCGACATCGTTAAGATCGTCGGGGTCGGCTAGCTTGCTACAACCCTCAACTTCCCGTGTGTTATGCTGTAAACCAGTTTCTTCTTACTAATAGCGGTGCACCATTTCCGGGCAGATGCTGCGGCTGCGAAGCAGGCGCAGGAGATGCCCTTGGGTCGTACGGGTCACACTGCCGAAGTATAACCAAATGATTTGTTGTACCTTCCTATTCAGTATCAAACGGTCTTAATTCGTGCACTTGATCGGTCGGCTGGAAGTACAGATTCCATCTTACTCAGTTAGCGATCTCCTTACTGTATGATCACCATTAATGCGCGTTGCTCAGTTGATTGAATTCGTGTTGAGCAGGTTGTGTTTTATTATGGACGATGATATGGTGGACAAGAGAATCAGTAAGCGTTGTTTTGAGTAATGCTTTAGTGTTTTTCGGCTACTGTCTGGTAGTTAAATAAGCTATGTATGTGCACCGGCTTTCTGAAAAAACAAACAAAATACTGCCATTTACCTAGCCTAGCCTACGCGAAGCCCTAGTACCGCAGCAGTACGTCCGGTAATCAACACCTCTAGCTCTGTGAATACTTGCTCGTTTTGCTTGTGGCTAAAGGGAGAGACTTTGTTGTTCCTTCCTCCTATTATTCCAAATTGTACTTAAAAAATGTAAGAACTGAAATACTTCAAAAATGCACTACCAGCCCAAACCTCTAGTAAATTTAAGAACGGTTACTATTCGTATGAATCCGTTAAAACAACTAATAGCGGTTACCCTCAACCAATACCGTATCTCTACTTCTTTCTGTCATTGGCAGTAGAAACAAAATACCGGTATTTTTGTGGTACACCAACTTATGCCCAAGAGCGACGTAAAATCCAGAGCTGTTCCGGGCAGAGCACGGCCTTTGTGGGCTGGCCACAGCACTCCCTTTGGGGTCACTGCTACCCCAGAAAAAATAATAGGGGGTTTCAAAGTTGGGCTGAGCCTATAGACACAAGAACATAAATAGCTTTTCAGCCAATCAGATCGCGCTGTGGTTTTGCCGTTATGTCATGTTTTACTGACGCCAAAATCGAGTCCAAACGACCTAAGAGACGATTGACTTGGAATCCGACGGCTAATCTAGCCATCTCAAAGGCTTGTTCCGCCAGTAGCGCGCGCCCCGCGAAGGCACCAACTGCGGCTCCAGCGCTAGCGCCCATGGCGTCAAGCACACACCAATGCGCGTTGGCTGCGTGAAACATGGCACGCCGCGCTGGAGCAGCCAATATCCGTCCGTCGTTGAACTTGGTCCAAGCCTCACGGCTGGTGCTAGACTTGATGTAGAAGCTGCTGTTGCTGACCTTGACCTTCTTCTACTTTAAGTCTTGTCACGCGTACTTGCCCTCGACGCTCTCGTGTCTCCTGTTGGCCTGAATCACGACGCCAGTGCATTTGTACTTACCCTAGACAACGTCGCTCGTCTTGTACTGTTGTGGACTTGCACTTGGCCTGGTTGCAGGTGCTCGATTTGACCTTCGTACACTTGGCGGAACTGCACAGCCGCTTCGGGGCTTATGTTTGCTTGCTGACTCGTCGAGCTCGGAAAAGGGGGTTCAAAGTAACTTTTGAAACAGCCAATCAGGAAGGCTGGAAATTTTTATGTCTTCTGCTCAATATGTTTGGCAAAATCCTACTTTGAAACCCTCTAATATATAAAATCCTAGAATTGTCCGAGCCTAATTTTCGGACATGAATTTGTCCGAACCTGCACGGTACTACCTCCGGTCCGAAAAACAATATGCATTCACCAAATTGAACTATTAGTGACAGAACAATCAGAATGAAGGTAATATTTAGGCTTAATATTACCGCTACCAAACCGACGTTTTAGGCTAAAGCATCGACAGCCGCAGCCGCCTCAGCCGAACACGGCAAACAGCGAGGCAGGCTACCATTCCTGGTCAGGGCATCTTTTCTCAGGTGTGGGATGTTGTAGCTGTTGCCACCACCAGCAAGCATAGATGCCTCAAGCACGCTTTGCAGCGTAAGGAAGCACTTGTTGGTGGTGGCACTTGACATCTCCTCAAACGCGGCATTCACGGCCGCGATGAGCCCGTCGACGTCCCGTGTCTGCTTCCTGTACTGCAGCGACTGCAGCGGTATTTAGAGAAATATTTTCAAGGAACAATTATTTCTAGGTTCTTCTGACATAAATAATTATAATAATTTATGGACGAGCCCAACCTACTGCCATACATAATCAATAACAAAATATTGACATTTTTGTTTGATCGTTAACAAAGGCACTGAGTGGGAAGCACATAACCGGGCCATCGAGGTACATGGGTACAGAACCTGCAGGCACTCGTCTGTCTCTAGGCACTGAGTCAGGTAATATTGGTACCGAGGTTAGAAAAGAGGGGTTTTCTATTCAAATGGATTTCATAAATTTCACCAAATGTAGAGATTTTGTTGTGTGGCTCTGAATGCTTCAAGAGCTCTATGTTACACGAATGTTGCAGGAAATAGGAAGTGGTGGCAACGGTCGTTCGAATGTAAAAAGCACTTGGCGAATCTCGTATTGACCAAGAAAACAGTATGGTCACCTTGTCGCCTGCTAGTACGGGAGTTGTTGAGGACTAGGTCGCGCCAATCGGGTGTAGAGTTGCGCTAGCAACATTGACGTACCTACTAAACCACGTTATAAACCTGACAATAACGCGCTACTCTACAAACTGCACGTTACACTTATGGAGAGAGCCTAGACTTGCAGCATTGCCATGGCGACGCAAAACCCGCGTATTGTCAACTTCTATTTAACGACGCACCGAAGCGTTCAGTTACGATCTTCGCTCAATTGGCCAGGCATCCGACTGCCTCACACACTGTCAAATCGACCCTGAAAAGGCGAGTACGCATACCATTCTTAAAGAGCCTGTAGATACATCAATCAAGTATGCATAGTACCTATAGGTACCCGTACGGTATCTACAGACACACACACCAATAGGTACCCTGTCGGTATCTACAGGTACACAGACTATCAGGAACGTACACGTGTACCCTGAACAGCTTGAATAAGGCTCTGCACCCACGTATACATCTCGAGGAAGCACCACCGCGTCAACCCTTGATGTTCTTGGTATCCCTGGTCTCAAAGCTTCACCACGTCCGTGCAGCCTCGCGCAATCTATCCAGCCGTAGGTCCTGGGCGGCCCTTGCGCTTGCGCGGCGCTCTTCAAGCATTTTTGAAATCATGTTGTGGACATCTCGGAGCGTCACGTCCTGGCCTAAAGGATAGGCAGTAATACATTTAAGACCCCCCCCCCCCTCCCCCCATCGTAGCTAGAGCGGTAGCACTAACGCACCTGTCACCTCACGCAAACGCCGCATGGTCTGGCAGTTCCAGCATCGTGTTCGTTAACCTCCGAGCAGACGCCCAGGCGTTGAGCAGCGGCTGAGCGCGTCTCCCAGTCATCGCGCAGTCTCAGACACTCGCCCCAGACGCTCAGTCTACGTGCAGCCTTTGCGTAGTCTCCCAGCCCTCGCTTAGTCTGAGACGCCGACTGCCGTTCTGCGCAGCTCTGGCCCGCTCTCTCTCTCTCTCTCTCTCAAAGCCGCCTGTACCATTCCGTGTATTAACCTGCTAGCGATAGACATACACATGAGAGAATAGGACGGGGAGGAGCAGGAGGAGGAAGGGGGGACTCGCTCACTATACGTACACGAATAGCTGCCCAACCAGTCACTTGAGGTCCAAACGCGCCAAACTCCAAATGAGAGCCAGTAGAGCCAGTGGATTTTTGGAGGATGGGAGAAAGGGGAGAGAGGGGGTGTCAAGATTTCGATTTTTGAAATATCGAAAAACGTCGGTAATTAATTTGCGTAATTTACCGAACTCGTACTGTATCACTCCTTTTAAATACGATCCCACTCCGTGCCTTCAGTCAGTCTCTTTTTGTTTTTATTATGCCATAATCGGGAGCCCAATCACTGATTGGGCTCAATCTTCCTGCACAAGTTCAAATCAACTTCTTCCGCCGAGCTCCTCCCCTGTAGCCATGGCCTCGCTGTTCGGCAGCCTCCCTTCGGCGGCAATGCGCAACCACGGCCGCAGCACGGCGCTCGTGAGCTCGACCGGCAGCGGCAATGAGCGCGCGCTGCAGTGGGTCTTCGACGACGAGACCAACAACTGCATGCACTGCAATACCCCCTTCACGGTCATCACGCGCAAGGTACCGCACCGCTTAGTAAGTACTCGGCTATTAGCTGCAGTGCGATTTTACTCACGTTTAATGCATTTCCTGTTGTTGGGCGACTGCAGCATCACTGTCGTCGCTGCGGGAACGTTGTGTGCCACAACTGCTCGCCGCACAAGCGCCGCATCTCGTCCACGGACCCCTTTGTACGCTGCGTTAACTGCGGGTAAAATGGGAAGAAGGAAGCAGTCCTGATTGTATGTGCATTGTTGTGGTCTTTGGCAGCCCATGCGCGTCTGCAACACGTGCTATGCAGCGGTGGACGAGCACTTTGCGTCGCTGGAGTGGTCAGGTCACTCGTCGGCTGAGGTACAGTACGCAGTATCTTTACATTGCAAATAGTCATTGGCGTTGGCTAATTCGTGCTGTTGGTGTAATCACCAGATTCAGAGCAAGCCCGATCCGGTGATTGAAGGTCGGGTGCACATCGGACAGCTGTATGTGAAGGTGGTGGAGGCAATCGGATTACCGTCGACGGACTCAATCACGAGTGACCCGTTCGTCAGGGTGATGTTGACTGGCAAGTGGTCGCACGGACAGGAGTGGGGCAACGACCTGAAGAACATCAAGTGCACCAAGAAAAAGTCGCGAACGCTCAACCCGCGCTGGCACGAAACGTTCGTCTTTAACGTGTGTGCCCCCGGAGCGGAGTTGGTGTTGGAGGTGTACAACTACGGCCAACTAAGTCAGCCAACGAAGCTAGGCGAGGCAACGATCCCACTTTCGCAGATCATGGATCAGCGTCGACACAACAAGTGGCTTGATCTTCTGCTGCCGGAGAAGCTCCACCGCGCGGGACTCAATAACGATGCCCGAGCGGGTCGCATTCACGTCCTGCTGCACTACAAGTTCTCGCGTATGGCCGAGTTCTGCAGCTACTTCTCCTCGGAGCAAGACTACGTCTACGAATGGCCGGAGTTTCAGGCGGCGCAGCTGTACAGCAACTTTTGGGTGTTGCTGGACAACCTCTGGCCGTATCTGGAGGTGATCTGGCAAATACTTCCAACGCTCAACTGGGAGCATCCGACGCATTCGTTCATGTGCTTCGCGCTGTGTGTGTGGCTCTGTCTCTCGCTGCAGTGGCTACCGGTTGTCATCCACCTCGCGCTCATCGCGTTCGTGCTCCGCAACTACTTCGAGCTCAACTTCCACTCGTTTGCTGCGGCAACCGACGGCAAGGATCACCCAGGTAGTCCCAATGTCAATTTGGACAATGACATGAGCAACGGCTCGTTCCGCCAGTACAACCTGCCTTCCGGATTCAACCACCTCATGAACAAGATGACCCACGTAACCATTGACCAAGAGACGAAGCGAACGCTGCAGTCCGTGCAGAACAATATGGCTTGGTGGTCGAGCATCATCAACAGCCTCGAGCTCATGTTCTCGTGGGAAGACACGTTCTACACGGCGCGCATCCTTCTCTACCTCATCGTGAGCTGTGTGCTGCACATCGTGATCCCCAACAAGTACCTGCTGCTGGCCTTCGTCGTCTACCTCTTCGTGCAGTGGACCGTGCCGTTCATGTGGTTCACGCACTTCATCTACGCCATCCGCCAGTCCATCCGCTCATTGGTGCATCAACACCGTCTCCGGAGCTCGATGGCGCAGGCGGATTTGAACGCGAGGCTGCCTGGCGTTGGTCTGGGTGGTGGTCTCAGTCTGAACGACCCACCGCGAGGCATGCGCCGCACGGTCTCCAACGCCAGTGCCCGTGCTCACGCCCGCGTGTCCAAGAAGGAGGAGGCCTTCGGTGCCGCTGCGTCCGCCATCTCCGAGCGATTCGTCGTCTCAGGCGAACCAGCCCTGCGCAAGCGGCAGTGACAATGTCCCGACCATAATATATAACTCATTGCGCGCGATAGAAAGCAGTAGATAGGTAGACGATAGCGTTGCGTGCAATGCTCGAAGAGACATGGATACATTCTCGCTGTTGCACACTGCGATGACCATCGTCCGATTGTGTGTGTACCGAAATGATGGTACCGAGACCGCGGCGTCACTGACAGTGTAACGCATAGCAAAACCTTCAGCCTGGGGGGCAACTTGGTCTCCTGCGCCCGTCGCGTCTATCGTCTTTGACCGCCAGCGCTGCTGCTGCGTTGCTACCTCCTTAAGTAGTTCGTCGGGTCGGTGGCAGGATGCTGCTGCAACGCCTCGTGGTGATGCTCTACTCGCTGTGGGCGCTGCTGCAGCGCGTCAAGCACAAGAAGTGGGTCCTGCTCGTGGTCGCCAGCTTCTACATGGGCCTGCGCTCCACGCAGAAGGACCCTGTGGTGGGGAAGCCGCGCGACGTATTCATTAACCATATGATCACGGAGACCAAGGACGACGGCATCCACATGGCGCCCACGCCCGTGCTGGCGCCCTGGACCAATGCCAGCTTCGAGTGCGTGGGCTGGAAGCGCATCCAGTCGTGTCGCGAGCCGAAGCCGGAGGACGAGGAAGAGGAGACGACGCCCGAGCCGGAGAAGGACTTCCTCGGCTGCTCGGAGGAGATCGGGACGCAGATGGCAGGCTACTGTATCGTGCGGAACCGCACGTCCGGAGACCTGTACAAGCTCATGGTCAGCTCGTGCGACTCGCTGCCGAATGGCTACTACACGTGCGATATGGCGCGCGATTTCTCGGAGTTTGGGTACCATTCAGTTAAGTACGAGCACACGCCGGTGGCGCCGTCGTTGGCGTTGCCGTACGCTGCGACGAGCAAGCGACAACCGACGAATGGAGTGCTAATGATCATCTACGACCGCGTGCTGCCATCCGCCTACGCGACGATTAGGATGCTGCGTATGCAGGGCTGCGAACTGCCCGTGGAGCTCTGGTACCGGCCGGATGAAATGTCCATTGACAACCCGATCATCCACAAACTGCTGTCGGACTACAACGTGCGCATGCGCCCTATCTTCGACCGTCGCGCAATGGGCTTCCACGTCAAGCCGTACGCCGTGTACTACAGCAACTTTGACAACGTGCTGCTGCTGGATGCTGATAACTTGCCGGCAAAGGACCCGACTTATCTGTTCGAAGAGCCCGAGTTCCTGCGTACGGGCGCCATCTTCTGGCCCGACTACTGGCAGCCGTCCAACTCGCTTTTCCAGCTCTCGAACACCAGTCTGCTGTGGCAGCTTACGGGTGTGGACTACGTGGATATGTTCGAACAGGAGAGCGGCCAAGTTCTGATCGATCGACTGCGTAGCAAGCGTGCACTGGACAAGCTCATGTACTATTCGACGCACCAGCCCCGGCTACTGGAGCAATTGCACCTCATTTGGGGTGACAAGGACCTCTTCCGACTTGCCTGGCTGAATAGCAGCCAACCGTTTCACTTTATCAAGTACCCACCTGCAGTTGGCGGACTGGACCTGCAAAAGGAGAAGGGCGTCTTCTGTGGACTCGCCATGATTCAGCACGACGTACAAGGCAACCTCGTGTTCTTCCACCGCAACTCCATTAAGCTCGACGGCAAGCCGGACCAGCCGCGGATTATGAGCCACATCCAAGAGTATTCTCTGGAGGGCAACCCGCGCGACTACCGCATCTTCCAGGCAGTGTACGCCCACAAGGAGTGCTGCTACTACATCGGTACCGACTCACTGCCCGACGGTCGACCAGCTACACAAGTCACGCCCATCGACTCGACAATGTACTCATCTATTGAGGACCTCGCCATCCAGTTCTCTATTGAGGCAAGGCAACTGCTGATCGACGATGCAATGGCCAATGATCTCGGGTTCCGATCCATGCGCGTGCAGTACATCGTGGCGCTGTTCCTGCTGGCCTATGTGCTGGCCATCATCACATTCGTGTGGTGCAAGGGCCGTCCGGCACGGGAACGATTGCCCAGTCGGTGGAAACCCATAGACTCCAAGGAGAGCTAGCGAAGAGAGATACCCAAGCTTAGAGTAAGTGAGCGCAGCAATATAAGCAAAGTGCATGTGACTAGCTATCCTATCCCCCTGCATAGCTAGCCGGCTCGTGGGCCTTTAGAGCCGTGATGAACGGCAGAGCTCCGCGATGAAGGCGTCACCGCTTGCTCCCCGGCACAGTCTCCTAGCAGAAGACGCACAAAGGGCGTAAACTTAAAACCGAGTGATGTGGTACACATCACAATGATTTATGGAACTGTTACCCTTTATAAGGTGTTTAGAAGGTTGAAGTTCGATAATTTCGCCCTTTCCTCGCATCACGAGAAGAAAACCCGGCGTTTAACATTAGGCTCGAGCCCGCCCCTCCCGGTGGTGGCCATGCAGTCCGTGATGCGAGCGCGAGGCCGCGCTCTGGTCGCCACGCGGCACCCGCGCCCGTCGCGCTCGTCCCCCGCGGTTGTCGTGGCCTCGCGGTCGTGGCTGCAGCCCGCCGGCGTGCAGCGTGTGGCTCTTTGGACGTCGTCTCCGTCCTCTCGCTCGAGTCCTGAGTTCCCAGCTTCCGAGTTCGAGCAGAGCGAGGGCCGCAGTCCTCTGTGGATGGGCCTTGCGCTAGCAGCGGCGGCCATGACGTTCGCGGTTAAAGAGGCGGCGGCGGGCGTGAAGGAACCAGCGGAGGAGCCCAAGGAGGACCCTAAAGAGATCGCCAAGGACATCCACGACCACAAGGAGGAGGTGAAGGCTGCAGTTAAGAAGAACGAGATCAAGAAACGCACGCTGAGAAAGAGAAAGACCAGCGTGAGAGACGGCAAGATGGTGGTGAGCACGGCGGCGGTGCGGGGCGACCGCGCGTACATGGAAGACACGTCGTATGTCTCTTCCTGCAAGCGGTTCGCAGCGGTGTACGACGGCCACGGAGGCTCTGCCGTCTCGCAGTATCTTCGCAACCAGCTCTTCTCGATGATTGCACCGGAATTGGTCCAGTTGGACCAGGAGATTCTCGCCGAAAACAAGGGCGAGAAGAGCGTGATGGCCAAGTCCAGTCGACGCCAGAAGGTCGCAACCATGCTGCAGGAGGCGGTGAGCAAGCTGGACCAGGAGGTGATTGTCAAGAACGAGTGGAAGTTCCAAGGCTCGACGGCGGTCGGGGTGCTGCTGTTTGACGACGTGCTGTACTCGCTCAATGTGGGAGACAGTCGAGCGGTGTTGTGTCGGTCAGGAGACGCAGTGGACCTCACGCGGGATCACAAGCCCAACGACCCTCAGGAACGTGCTAGGATCGAGTCTCTAGGAGGTCGTGTCCAGTGGTATGGCTACGTGGACGCTCAAGGCGAACCGATCGAGCCGTACGGCGCGTACAGAGTGAATGGCAATCTGGCGGTGGCGCGGGCTATCGGAGACCGCGACTCGCGGCCATTTGTGATCGGCGAGGCCGAGATTCGCCAGTACGACCTCGAGTACGACAAGGACGAGTTCATTGTGATCGCGTCGGACGGGCTCTGGGACGTGTTCACTAGCAGTGAGGTGGTGGAGTTCGTGCAGGACGTCATGAGTGGCGAGCTGGGCGGACGCGAGGCCTGGAGAAGCGGCGGCCACAGCGACACTCGCGTGCCCATTTTCGAGTGGTCGCAGCAGTACACGAGCGACAGGTCCATGATCAAGGCCGCGCGGCGGCGACGGAAGGTGCAGATCGCCAAATATCTCGTGCAAGAAGCGCTCTTCCGGGGCACCTCGGACAATGTGTCCGTCGTGGTGGTCTGGCTGCGCTAACACCGTCATTCTCAGATAGGTTTCCCCCATGATGTGCGGCATTGGCATCCTCCACGACGTCGGGTTACGGCCAGCACGGCATTTTAATCGTTGCGTGACGTAAGCTATCTTGATTTTGTATTCTGATAAAAAAATGAACATCTTTTTTTCCTTTCGACATGCGAAACTGAAAAAAAAGCAACTTGACCCTGTTGAAGTGCTTTGCAGAGTGGATTCTGCGTTGGGAACGTGGTGTGTGACACACCACAGCTCAAATTTCGTCCAGACGCAGGTGCTGCATCTTGTTGAGGCAACCCGCGTGCGCTTACTGCGGCGGCGTGCCTCACGTCGAATCCAGCTCTTCTGACACAGGCTCTCCTGTGTCGTCGGGCGGAATAAGGTCCCAGCCAGTCTGCGATCGAGCGGAACGTTCGTCTGACTGAGGCACCTACACTTGCGCTGAGTATGCTCAACGTCAAAGTGACCATCACTCAGATCACCGGCTTTTCGACCAATGACGAGGCGGCAGAGCGCGAATTTTCTCTCTCCAAAAAAGACTGTGCGTCGGACATAGTCTCAGGTCAAGTGCACGGATGTGAGTTCATTACCAAATTGACCGACTAGCGCACACTTCAACACAGCGCACTCACTCAACGCACATACACAGCAATGAGCAGCCCAACGGCTTCCTCTACTACCAGCTCCATGGACGATAGCCCGCGCTTCCAGGTGCAGAGCGACTTTGACGACGAGTTGCAGCTCCAGTTCGCTCCAGCACACGCAGGTGCTGCGCCCGTGTACGTCGCTGGCGAGATCGCGTCTCCCGTTACGCAGTACCGCGACGCGCCGTTCCAGTTCACCACAGCGCCCATGGACCGATTGGAGGAGCTCGACAGCTTCAGCCTCTTCCCTTCCGCCGATGCCAAGCAGCCGGTGATGCAGTTTGCAACGTCCAACCCCAAGCAGAAGCAGGTCATGGCGTCCCCATTGTCGCCGTCGGCGGCGGCGGAGGTGCCACTGAAGGAAGGATGGGACTCGTTCTTCGGCTCGGCGTTCCCGAGCTTCCCGTCCTTTGCAGCCCCCGAGAAGATCATGACGACGCTGCAGGACGCACTGAAACCTTTTGAGTGCTCCGTGCGTGTCGAGAACTGCTGGACTCTTCGCGTCTCGTGGCTTTGTGTGGCTGAGGAGATTGCGTTCTCCATCTCACTCTCGAAGGAACAGGGCTGTGATGGAGATAAATACGAGGTGGCGTTCCGCCGCGAGTTCGGGGACGAAATGGTGTTTCATCAGCTGGTTGAGTGTATCCGCACTCGCTGCAGCGATGTCGACGCCGAGCCGCTGTTTTTCGCCGAACCGACGTTGGAGCCGTGGCTGGATGCTGCCCAGGAGTTGAAGGGCCGACGCTACGCCATTCGCGACACTGAGGCAGCGCAACTTATCAGGGAGATGAACGCTGAGCTGGACGCAGACACACTTTACGAGGTGACCAAGATGGTCAAGAACCACTGCCGGCATCAAGGCAACCGCCGTCTGTTCCTCGAGACTAACCGAGCTGGCTTTGTCAAGGCTCTCAAGTCGATGCTCGCCGATTCGGAGGTTCTCGCGCGTTTCGCAGTATTCATCTTGCTGCAGTACGTCAAGGAGTCGTGTGACGAGGGCCTCGAGTTGTTTTCATCCGCCTTTGAACGCAACTCGGTCGAATTGTTGCTGTCCGAGCTAGAATGCCGCGAGAGCGAGAGCGTTTGCGCTCCGTTTACGATACCGATGCTTGCGGAGATTCAGCAGAGTCGGATATTCGCGTAAGAGCCGAAGTCCAGCTTCTGTTCACCGGAGAAACGCGAAACAGTGTGAATTAACCATCGACCGCTCGGTAGTGCACAATTGCACTTCGAATTTTGCTCCAGCTAACTTATTTCATAGACTACATACAGTACAACAATCACATCCTGCTTCATTGTTCACTTCTAATGCACATTGTTCTTTACCTTCATTCACATGAATCAATGGGCATCCCCGTCAACAGACCTTCACTACCGACTCATCCTGATGATTGCTCAACTGGGATCAAGCCCTAAAGGTAGTACGAGACGAGGAATAACTATCACGTAATAAGCGGGAGGACATCTCTATATTTTGCACAACTGCAACGGCGACTGACCGTGTAAAAATACTTTACGATCTCACGAAGCACTAAGAGCTGCCTGCAAGTGTTCGTTCATCTTCTCGTCGATTCCCGTGTCAATAATGAGCGACAGCTTTCACAGGCGGCTGAAAGCTTGGGCAAAGGCCTTTTCCGGTGCCTGGTTGGCGCTACAGATCACGCACTTTGGAGGGAAATACTCGATCGAACGCATGCTTGCGCTTGAGGAGTACACTCGGAAGACGTCACTAACGCGCGTTCTCCTCGTGATTATCGGCACTCCACTCCCAACCATCATCCTCGTGCTATGCCAAGAGAGCATTCCTCTGCAGAATCCCTCTGATAGCTGGAGTGTAAACTACGGCTTTTGGATACGCATGGTCACTCTTGCAGTCGGTGAAGCATGCGGTACAGTGATTCAAACAGGACGTCTTCTCGATGGAGTCTCGCTCTCTCCGACCCAGATGGTCATATTCGGCATTTGTGTGGCGACCGGTAACACTGCAGCATCCATGGTTGTGGCGGCGTACTGGGTGTTCCCAATTCCGTTCGCCAGCTTCCTGTTGTCCCCAGTTGTGGTTGCCTTCTCCGTGGGTGCATTCCGTTTGTTTGCCGGAGGAGAGAGGTGTCGACAAATACTTTCTCAACGTGAGCACCTCTATCGATGGTTTAGCTATTTTTCGGTACAAATGGTCATGGTTCTCATCTACCCAGCATACCAAGCTTTGTTTGAAGCCGTAAGTTACACCAAGTTGGAGGTGCCAGTGCTGTTGCTTCTTCCCGTTCTTAAACTCGTACTGAAGAATATGCTCACATTCACCCTTTTGCACAAGGAGGACATGATACCTGAGCAAGTGATATTCACTGTGGACTTTTTCGACGCGTTCTACTTGGCGATGTGCATGAAGAATGTGTCGTCAATTATAACAGTGGTAGCGATCATGGCTATTGATCTTGTTCAGGCGTGTATCGAGATGCAAGAAGTTCACCAGCGAACGCGTAGCATCTTAAAACGACTCCATCGGGCGCTAGGAACGAAAACGGAAGACCGGGATTTACTTGCAAACATTCGGTTGTTGTCCTCCTGCATTGGAGAAAATCTCCACAGCCAACCGTGTACAGGCATTCAAGTACGGTCATGCATTTCTCGCAATATCTCACCAGAAGTGGAAATGCTTCTTAAAAACATGAATTTTCATCAGAGTATCGGCTCGATAGAAAACTCTTTCAACCTTTCACGCAGTATTGTCCATGAATCCGCGAGAAGACTATCGCTTATGTCGATTTCGGGCCGGGTGTCACGAAATGTTTCGCGTGCTCTAAGCTTTCAGGCGAAGGTGGCGGCCGCGCCGGCTACTTTCGAGTTGACGGTCTTGCCCACATCCAGGAACGAGGTTCAAGAGTCGATGGACAGCAACCTCGATATTCTCCGTGAATCGCTTGAGGTGCTATTCACGAACGAATGCATTGTTTTGACGGAGTACCTGGAAAGTATAGTACCTATGCGAATTATATGCTCGTGATGGTACACCTTCCTAGTGCTAGATACCATGCCGAACTGTTCGGCATCTCCACCGAGAACGTCGATAGCATTGTGCAGAACGTGTTCGTCTACGCGGTGTTGGAAATGGCGTCGCTCATGGCTCTCGCAGTTGTCATGGGGCGAAACTGCGGTATTCGCGTACTGTATCAATTGGCGTTTGTCATGGAGACCCACGCCACGCTTGTGCAGCCGAAACTTGTGCTCTGGGTGTTGATAACTCTAACCTACCAAGTAACACACTTTGGTACGTTGTTTTTGAAATGTATTGTGTTCTAAAAAGCTTGCTGATTGAGCTCATGGCCCGACTTGTTTGTTTGGATGGACATTCAGGAGTCGACTTCTCGTTTAAGTTTGATTGGGTTGGTTCGTGAGTACTGTGGACTTCTAAAATGTACTTCACCTTCTGCCACAAGTGATGCTTGGGCGTATCGATTCAATTGTACATTATGAAATGCATTCCCAAGCCGATGTAAGATATCGAGTTTTGTTGCGCACTTTGGTACGCTTGACTCGAAAGATGCCAAACATTTGTGCCTTTCCAAGTGCACTCTTCATTTCGTTTCAAGTGGATCGGAATCTGACCATGGCAAGTAAAAATCACAACGAGGAGTGCGTTGCATCGTATCCTCGGTATCTTCACCGCACCTTCATGTATTGCTAGATTTCCTGAGTCTCGCCATACCTCTGACGCTTCCTAATTGCAGCTGACCAAATAACCCCCACGAATGCGTGTCTCTATTACTAAGCACCGGAGAGCGGATCACCTTCCAAGCGATATGGATGAACAAACAGCATTGCCGCGTTATTACGCCAGCTCCTTGTCCAGTCCGCGGAAGTAGGCTGGTCTGCGCACCCACGTGCGGGGCAGCACTTCCTCGTTCGTGGCCAGACGCAGCGTGCGGCTCTCGTCGCGCAACAGCAGGTGTTTCTTCTTGGTGGTGATGTCCTTGACGGCGAGGCGGAACTTGGCCTTGGACTCGCTGTTCTTGGGGTTGGCGAAGCTCTTCTGCAGCGTGATCTTGTTGTTGCCGGCCAGCCGCTGCAGCTCCAGCGCCTCCTCGGGGTACAGCTGGTCCGTGTGTCCGTGCTTGCCCATGCGGCGCACGAGCGGCGGGTAGCCCTCGAACTCGTCGCTGAGGAAGAAGAAGTCGGGGTTCCTGAAGGCCTCGTCGTCGATGCCCATGAGCACGGCCTCCTCGCTGGCGCTCAGCGCCTCGTCAGGCTGCGTGGCCTCCTCCTCCTGTCGTGCGCGCTTCTTGAGGCGCGCGACCTCCTTGTCGTTGCCGGCGGCCTCGGCGTCCGCGAGCTTCTTGGCCTGCTCCTTCTGCTCCTTCAGGGTCTTGTCCTTGGCCTCCTGCACCTTGGCGCGGAACTCCTCGGGCGTGAGCTCGGCCTCCATGCGCTTCATCCAGATGATGGCCTCCACGCGGGGCTTGGCCAGGTGGAACTTGCGGGCCAGCACCGTGGGCGTCCACTTGAGCGGGTTCTCCATGAACAGCTCCATCACCAGCTCGTCCAGCTCCTCGTTCTCCTCCACGCCGCCCTTGTTGACGTCGGCGATGGCGTCCACCTCAATGTCGCCGTCCTTTCCCTCGCCGTCCTCCTTGTCGCCATCGGCGTCGTCACCCTCCGCTGCATCCTCGTCCTTGTCCGCCTTGTCCCCGTCCGCCAGGTCCAGGAAGCGCGACGGCGTCGACTCAGTCGACTCGAAGCGCACGGAGCCCGTGCAGCGGGCCACAGCGTGAGCCGGAGCGGCCGAGCGCAGCTGGCAAGCCACGCGCGCAGTGGCCAACGTGCTGCGCGAGCTGCGGCGCGCCGTGCGCACCAGAACGCGACCCCAGGCGTGCTGCATCTTCCTCCTGACAAGCTGCGGTGGCAAAGTGAGCTGCTCGTCTTTTGGAAGGCTCTGGGCCGCCCGTGTGGTCATGCAACCGGTGCCATACCGGTAGGTGCAGAATCAGAAAATGACTCTCAGACTCAGAAAGTACTCGATAAATATCTATACCGAAGAAACCGGTTAGATGTGTCGGTAGCTTCGGCTCATTCGCCATCGTCTGCGATGCCGGTGAAGGCTCTGGTGGCGCGCTTCCTGCGGCGGCACCTGGTGCTGGCCGTGTTCCTCGTGGCGGCCTCCATCATCGCCGCTATTGTGTACGAGGTGACGGGCGGCGGCAAGCCCAAGGCCTGGAGCTACGACGCGCCCGAGCTCAACGCCGTGGACCTGGAGGGCCCCGATCGGCCGCGCAGCCTCTGGACGGACGACGACTTCGAGTGTCTCGGCTGGCGCGCGACCCACAACTGCGACCCGTACGGGCCCCGGGATGAGGCGCGCGACCGCGCGTGCGGCGAGCGCATGCCGCGCTCCAGCGGCTACTGCGAGGTGCGCAACCGCACGAGCGGCGAGGTGCTGCGCGTCATGCTGGCCACGTGCAAGAGCTGGCAGTGGTATCTCGTGCCCCAACTGTCGTGCAACGACGCCCGCAACTTCACGGACTTCAGCATCCTCGCGGCCAGCTACGCGCACCCGCCGCCGGAGCTGCCGCCTCCTGTTCCGACCAAGAACTCGGCCGAGCAGGACGCGCAGCAGGACAAGCGAGGTATCGTTATGATCGCCTACCCCAAGGTGGTAGCGGGGGTCTACGCCATTGTGAGGACACTCAGGTCGCTGGGTTGTGCTCTGCCCGTGGAGGTGTGGATCGATCCGACGGAGATGAGGGCCAAGCATTCCGTCTTGGTGGAGCTGGTCAAGTACTATAACGTGCTGGTGAGGGTGATCCGCGACCCGAATGCGTCCAAGTTCCACGGTAAACCGTACGCGATCTACCACTCAAGGTTCGAGAGCGTGCTGTGGCTGGACTCGGACAACATCCCCGTGCGTGACCCGACGTATCTGTTTGAAGCGCCCGAGTTTGTCAAGCATGGAGCCATCTTCTGGCCAGACTTCTGGAGACCGGCGATCGATACGCCCTTCAATGTGCATCAGCAGAGTGCGCTGTGGACGCTACTGGACATGCCGTTCACGGACATGTTTGAGCAGGAGAGTGGGCAGTTGCTTGTGAACCGGTCGCGATCCCAGGCAGCGCTCTCGAAACTCATGTTCTACTCGTCGCACATGCCGCGGCTGATCACGGACTGGCAACTTGTCTGGGGTGACAAGGATTTGTTCCGCCTGGCGTGGCTGAACACATCCACACCGTTCTACATGGTGCAGCATCTTGTAGCACTCGGCGGACTCTACGACGCGGACGAAGACTTCTTCTGCGGCGTCTCAATGATTCAGCGGGATCCAGTGGGTGACATCATATTCATGCATCGGAACCAAGCAAAGCTTACAGGTCGTCGCGACCAGAAGCCGCTTATGACGCACTTGCAGAAGTTTACGGGCGGTGATGGCACGGCGGCGTCGCTGGCCCGCGAGTTGGACAAGTACCGGGTGTCGTGCAAGATGCGCCGCCTAGGCCAGTACACGTGCTTTATGCTCAACCCGCGCACACCTGACGGCAATGGCACTCCATCACTGATTGTCAGCTTAGAGAGCACGAAGTACTTGCAGATAGAGCAGCATGCTATCGGATTCTCGATCGAAGGCCGCGGGCTGTTCAACAAGGAAGAGGAGGCCGAGGTGGCCAAGATGGAGGCTGACGTGCAGGCGACGCAGGATGAGGAGACTGCGGCGATTATTGCAGCACGCGAACGGTCAGAGAAGCAGACGCGCGGGATCTTTGGTATCGTTGTAGTGGTCGCGCTGGGTCTGTGGCTACGGTACCAGTGGATACGGCGATGCAGGAAGAGCCGGCCTAAGCTCGAAACTAAATACTCTTCGGTGGCGTCCGCAGAAGCTTCTTCCTCTCACGTAGCTGTGGTGGTGGACCCTTCTTCGCCAGAGACGTCTCGGCCGTCCACCGCTGTATTTTCAGGAACGACCTTCAACTCACGGCGACGCAATTCTTCCTTCCAGATCGACGATAAATGAGCGAGAGGTAAGGCGATAGATGCAGATACAACTTAGACTTTGAAAAGCCTAGCAAATAGCCAAATTCTATTCCACGGCTTTCACCTAGAACAAAATAACTCGCTCGCTCTGCCCACCGTGCCGTTGACGTGTGGATGCATGCATCCGATTGACAAGGAGTGTGTCCTATTCGAGTCTTAGACACTTCAACGCGCTGGCCAGAAGAGTACGAATACGCCCGCATACCGAATTCCAAGGACCATGGTGGCCTTCTCCTTGATGCTCGGTCGACGGCGGGTGTTCGACTGGACTGGAGTCGATGCAGATCGTGGTGGTTTGTTGCTGAGTGGCATCGGTTCCGCTTGCGTCGACCTCGTCTGGTTCCAACATGGTTTTCTTTCGGGGGTTTGGCTTTGACTTCGGTATCGTAGTTCGGTAGCACTCCATCGCTGCCTCAATTTTCACCCACGCCGGCGAGTTGGTCGTTAAGAGGCAAAAGGAGGCCTGCCCAGATTCTAGCCACGTGTGCTGATCGACGGCAGTGACGATACCGACGAAGCGAATTGGATCCAGGGTAAGAACTGGAGCACCGATTAAATGTCTGGCGTTCTTCTGCGTGCAGTCGTAGAGGTTGTCCGCTGCTGCTGGAAGAGCTGACGTGGGCGCGAAGATTGATAATTGTGCCCCAGTTAAACGTCTCACTCCAGCCCTTACCAGCAAGGATAAACTGTTCGCCATCGTGTAACTCATCATTCGGTTCCAGAAGATAAGGCGTCGACCCCCACTTCCACAGTGATACGCCGTGCTCGTTAAAATCTTCAACATGCTCAATGAGAAGCTTCGGGTACCGATCGACAAGCTCCAGGTCATCAGATCCAATCCACGTGACGCGTCGACATTCCACTGCCGGGCTCGGGAAACATCGCAGGCGGTGAGGAAAAAACCATTCTCCGAGATGAAGAACCCCGTACTGTGCCCACCCTTCGTCTCGCCGGACGACAGGATTCTTGCCATGCACCAATTGGCATACAGACCCACCGCTCGGGCCTCGCCATCTCCGTAGACCTGTCGCCTCGCCGATTCCTCCTTCCTCGTTCTCTCAAGCTGGATCATGTCAAATTACCTCTCCTTGTTCTACTGGGTTTTGCTTCGATCGAAAGTGACTTGAATCGTGTTGAACCACTTTCAGCATCGTTCAATGAAGTTCGTGTTCATGTTAATCAACAAGTTGGTGCATTAATCAAGGGCTGGCTCGGTAAAGCAAACAGTGGTGAATCCCAACAAGAACAAGGTACGCTCGGGGCAGGGAAGACAAGGGGGCTTGATGATAGTCGGTAAGTGATAGTATTGTATTGTTGGGACTTTTAAAAGAGAAAGCAGACTAATAGTAGCAGGGCGCCGTCTCTCGCTAGTTCTACCCCCGAGGCTGAGCTCTTCTTCCTCTGTTGAAAGAACTGGTAGACCCTGCTGCTACAATCCGTCTTGAGTGATAATCTGTCCTGATAGGTCCAGGACCTCAGCGCCGACTCGCTGGGTGCAATGGTTTGGTTGGTTGGTGGGTTGGTTGGTTGTCCTCGCTCTTGTGTCTTCACTCTTCAGTCGAGCGTTTGGTTTGGTTGATCTTTGATCTTAGTGCACAAACTGCTGCTGGTCATCCGCCACGAAGTTCGAGTCGAAGTAGATCTTCTGGGGGCGCTGGAATCCGTTGAAGTCCGAGCCGGCCGCGCACGTGTAGGCGCCCATGCTCGGGAACAGGATCCACTGGCCGATGTCCATGAGCGGCAGCTGCACCTCCTTCATGATGCAGTCCATGCCGTCGCAGGTCGGGCCCCAGATACTGGCCTTGTGCATCGGCGTGGCGTCCGGCGAGGCGGCATCCGACAGAATCACAGGCTGGATCGACGGGTGGTCGTAGACCATGCAGTTGAACGAGGCGTACAAGCCGTCGTTCACAAAATACATATAGTTGGGTACTTGTCCCGTGGCGGCCGCGGCGCTGGCGAGCACGGGCGGCTGGCCGGGGACGTCAAAAGTGGGGGCCACCTTGCGGCCGATCACGTTGACCGCAAGCGTGTGCGTGGAGGCGGCGAAGAAGCGGCCGGGCTCCGAGATGACCTGCACGCCGCTGCCCTGCGGGAAGTGCTCGGCCAGCGCCTTCTTGAGTTCGCGCGCGCAGTCCTCGAACCGGATCGGGGCGCTCTCCGAGCCGGGGAAGCCGCCGCCGATGTCCAGCAGGTTGAAGTTGAAGCCGAGCGCGTGGCCCATGTCGAAGACCTTGCGGGCGCGGGCCACGGCGTTCGAGTAGGCCTCGACGTTGAAGCAGCCGCTGCCGACGTGGAAGCTGACGCCGATGACGTCGAGGTTGAGCGCCTTGGCGTGGGCCAGGATGTCCGGGCAGTCGTGCACCATGGCGCCGAACTTGGTGCCGAGGCGGCAGATGGAGTTGGAGTCGTCCACGTACACGCGCAGCACGAGCTTGGCGTTGGGGTTGATGCTGTGGATCTTGGTGAGTTCATCCTGCGAGTCGAACGTCATGGTGTCGACGCCGTGCGCCTGCGCGTAGGCGATCTGCGAGCCCTGCTTGCACGGGTTGGCGTAGATGATGTCGCTGGCCGGGACGCCGTTGCCAAGCACGGAGCTGATCTCCGTCTGGCTGGCGCAGTCGAAGCCTGCTCCGAGGCGGGCCAGGCCCTCGATCAGGGCCGGGTCCGGGTTGCACTTGACGGCGTAGTACGGCCGCACCTCGGGCAGGTACTGGTGCCAGAGCTTGAAGCGCTCGTCCACGGCGGCCGTGTCCACGACGTAGAAGGCGTCGCGCTGGCTGCCGGGGGCGGTCCCAAGGCTCTGGATCTGCGTCTGCAGCTGCGCCAGCATGGGCACGCTGAGCTGCAGGCGCTGCAGCAGCTCGGGCGGCGGCTTGGCGTTCGTGGAGGCCGTGGCCAGGTCGCTGGGCAGCAGCATGGCGCGGGCCGCCTGCGTGCTGAGGCAGCGGGAAGCGGATCGCTCGTGGCCGAAGCGACTGGCCAGGCGCGACGCGCTCGTGAGCAGCGCGCTGCTGCGGGGGCCTCGGAGGAGCAGGGCCATGGCGAGGCGAGCGAGGCGGCGGGGGGCGGGGAGCGTGCGAAGCGGACGCGGGTGCGCAGGCGCGGGCCAAATCGGAAATGAACCGAGCTGCGCGCGGCTCGCGGATTAACGGATGGAGCGGGCAAAAACCACCAACAACGGGCCGTCAGGTTGTTGCAGTGACCAGAGCGCCGACTGTGACATCGAGTTCGAGGGCATTCGGCTCGAGCCAAACACTCCGTGGTTCGGATCTTTGACTGGCGCGCAGTATGTATGGCGCGAGGCGCGGCGCTGATTGGCTCGTGCGCCCCGCCCAGCCGTTACGAGTTGAAGCTGAATAAAGAATCGGCCAAAAAAGGCAACTTCGACTTGTCCAAAGTGGGTTTCAGCGATGTGCGACGAGGGAAACCCCGCTGACACGCTTTGCTTGCAAGCGACTGAGACTCAGTCTGAGTTGATTCACGCTCGGTATAAATACCCCGAGTGAGTGTGTGGGTGTACCCGTCGCACTGGGACGGGCTGCGAATTCCAGGCGGAAAATAGCGCGGCATCGCACGCTGTTCGTCGGTTTTCAACGCGTCCTATGCGTCAAGAGGACTGGGAGCTCCAAACCTTCCTCCGTTTTCATGCCGAGAACGCGCTGCCCTGGACTGCAAACATCCTGCTGGCCCGCTAATTCGAGCGGCCTCCGTGACATGGTCGCATAGCTCATGCGCGCATTTCGCGCAAATTGGTCGAGTTTCAACACCGAAAAGATCGGAGCGATTACCGCCATCCTATCCTGAAGTTTACGTTGAAGCTGCGGCTAAGCTTCAGGTTTTGACCTCAGAACCTCAGCCAACGGCTCTCGGCCTGATTCGTCGACGATCCTAAGATGGCACTCAGCTCTATTTTGCATTCCGCTCCACCCTGTCGAAGCGTGCGCATCCGCCCTCGGGACACCATTGCACAACTCGCTTGCTTGCGCGAGGTCCGGTGCCAATGGAGAGCGCTGCGTGTCGAATATTTTGCCGAGAAAGCGGTTTCCGCGCAGTGGTGACGTTACCACTGCGCGCGCGGCCTGTCTTCCTTCCGACACCTCACCATTGAAGCTGCTGGGCACACGCAGTCCGCGCTGCACTACAGAGCTGCGCAGGAAACTGCTCGCCCCGTTCTCATCTTTAGCAGTCCAATGAGGGGGGCGACTTCACCCCACAGCACGTGCGCTGCTGCTGCATGGGGCTGGACCTCGAGTCCATGGGACCAGAACTCCGTCGGACATGGGCGACGACGCAACGCCTCGCGAGAGCTAGCTGAGCAAGTGGAAGTAAAACGCTCTACAGTAGTTCCGTGCAGTTATCTCTCACTCGTCTTACGGCGACAGGTACTCACTCGCCTCCATCGACTCCTCCGGCTCCTCGGGATCCATCTGCTCCATCGAGTTGCTGAGCTCGTCCGGGTCTTCGCCACGCATCAGCTTCTCGAGGCGGTCCAGCCCGCGCAACGCGTCGGTAGACCCTGGGTTTAGACGCAGAGCTTGGTGGAAGTACTTGAGCGCTTCAGCGTACTGCTTGTCCATTGAATACACCGATGCCAGCTTGGTGAAGACTTCTTCCCGTGGGTGGCGCTCGCCCAGTGTCTGCAGTCTAGAGTATTTATTATCAAATGAGTTTGTTAGACAAACTGAGCAGAACCGATCAACAGGAAGATGCCTAGTTCACGCGTACCTTTCAATGGCACCGCGCAAGTTGCCCTCCTCAACCAGCAAGTCAGCAAGCGCGAAATTGGTCGAGAGCTTGCGAGGATCCATAGTCAGCGCCTTTTGTAGAGCCTGCCGTGCTTGCTCTCGACGATCGGAACTGAGCGCGAGCACGCTGCCGAACAGCACGAAGCTCTGCGCCTTCTGAGGGAACAACTTCACGACACTCTTGGCTGTTGCAAACGCCTCCTTGTACCGATTGACGCCAATTGCAAACAGGTCGCAGTAGCTGGTGATGATACCGGTGTACGCTTCTAGCGATCGCTTGAGCCGACATGCTTCCCAGAACGCTTTCAGTGCGAGTTGCGGGCGATTCAATCGCAACAGCAGCTCTCCACGCAGCAAGTGAGCTGGTGCGTGAAAATTCCGATCTTCAACAGCGCGCTCGCAGAACTGCAGTGCCGTCTCGTAGTCACCCTTTACATCATTGTAGTATGCTGCGGCAAGCCATGATTCGGTGCACGAGTCGCTGATCTGGAACAACTCCTGCACCAAGTCGTTCAGATTGGTCCGAGAGTTTCCTTTTCGCAAGCAATTGGCGTAGCTGTCCATAAACGCCAAATTCAATTCGTCAACTTGCCGTGCTCGCTTGAAGGTTATGTGGGCTTGATGCAGCAGTTCTTGGTCGATTTCAAGCGTCCCTCTGCGCAGCAAGCAGTGCAAGTTCTTTGGAAATACTCGATCCAGCGCGTTATATGCTTCAGTAGCAGCTGAGTGTATGTCAAACGTCATGCAAAACGGCGAGATAACGCATTAGACCACAGCGAGATTCCAGAAAGCGCCACCACGCAGACCCTTGTAGTGTGACGTACTTCGAAAATTCCCGCGCTCGTCACCCATGTGAGCTGCCACCAGCATCTGCATCCACTGTGCGTCTGTCGGAGACAGGATGGAGTTTGTTGCCCTCGTTGTCGCAGTAGCTTTGACATAGAATCGTTCGATCTCATGTTGTCGTGCGCCCGATTCCGCCCCCGCCAACCAAGCATTTTCACCAGCCTTCGTTGTTCCATCGGAGCCTGCAAACGCATCCGGAGACGCATCCTTAGCTGCCGCTAGCTTGGTGAGCGCCAAAGCTGCTTCGAGCGCGTATGGATTTTGCCGCAGCGCCGCGCTGTAGCTCTCCTCAGCCTTGTTCTGTAGCCCTTCGGTCACATACAACTTCCCAAGCAGCAAGTTCATGCTCAAGGTCCGTCCTTCCGGCGGTGTCGACTTCAACTACACAGAATAACACCTCTCCGTTAGATCGCTCGCTGTCTCAATCATTACATGATCTTCAAATCGACGGTACCACTTCAATAGCTTCGTGCACGCAGTTGAGCTGCACGTAGCACCTGGCCACTTTCAGCTTCACCTCCTGCTCGTCCTCGTTCGTCACGACACTCAGATCTCTGCAACTGTGGTGGTAGTAACGCTGCGAAAGGCATAACCCACCACTTATTAGCCATCACCCATATAACGCCATACTTCCTGCCCCTCGGCAGCTTGCAACTCACAATGGCGCGCTTAAACTCGCGCTTGGCCAGCATCAAATCTGCAAACAGACGCAGCGTCTTGGCGTGGAAACCGGGCGACAGCGCTTGCGCGCTGCCCGCAGGTGCCTCAAAGTGCTCCATCGTCCTCCGTGACAGGAAACTCTCTTCTGATGCAGCGCGCGCGTCGCTCCTGCTACTGTGAGGCTCGGAATCCGATGGAAACAGCGCTACGGACACCAAAAGTTCGCCTAGAATCTGCGCCGAGTCCACGTTTCCGCTGCGAACAAAGAGCTCCAACTGCTGCTGCATCATCTCAGCGTCGAAGAGGGCACCCTGGTGGACGCTACTCCGAGCCTCAGAGCTCTCGGAGAGCGCTGGAGGCAGCTCATTAGCGCGCCGCTTCTTACTCGGCCGCTCCATTATTTTCTAAGTACACTAAGTTCGTCTTAGGTTCGAGCTTACGGCGGAAGAGGTGTCCGCTGTCGTCCCCTTCGTAATGGAACTTGTCAGTGAGTGGTGAGCAGCGCATTGACCTGTAACCTGGGGTATCAGATATCGGTGGTGAGTCTGACATAATGTAGGGAAGGCAGGGCCGAGAGACACCGGAACAACTACGTCACATTCTCATTTTACGATTCTGCTGCAGCCTGCTCGGGTCCAGCATAAAGAACGGGTTGTGCGATATGATGAGCATCCTCGTTCATTTACAGCTCGTCGCTGTTGCCCTTGATCTCGAGCAGCTCGACGTCGAACACCAGCGTGGCCTTGCCGGGGATCTTCGGGGGCGAGCCGCGGTCGCCGTAGCCCATGTTCGACGGGATCGTCAGACGACGCTTCTCACTGAGAATGGACAGCAGAAACAGCAAACAGCACCAGCAAGTCAGCAATAAATAATTACCAAGCAACAGAATATGCACGCAGCAGTACGCACCCGACACACATGTTCACCAGTCTGCAAAAACGACATCAACGGCAAAAGCACAACACAAATGCCAGCACGTTAGCCTCCTCTACACTGCACGCATCACCTCATAACTAATTTGCACAGTACGCACCCTTGGTCCCAGCCCTGCTTCCATCAACACACAACATTCCGCCAAAAACCATTCGAGTGACGTCAGTCAGTACACTGCAACAGCATAGTAAATCCCCACATATGATACCGGCAGTGACCGACCTTAATAACGCGGCCGGCGCCCAGCGGGAACTCGAAGGGCTGATTGCGGTCCAGGCTCGAGTCGAACTTGGAGCCGTCCTTGCGCAGCGTGCCCGTGTAGTGCATCGACAGCACGTCGCCCAGCTGACTCTTCTTGGGGCACTCCTCGGGGCGGTACTTGACGCCGATGCGCAGCTGCGCGTCCGGCGGCAGGTCGTCCTTGGCCTGCACCTGCACCGCCGCCATCACCGCCGCCACGAGAATCGCCGTCCACTTCATCTTCGAGTTTTCTGCTGCTCTTGCCTATTGCTCGAGGTTTTCGGTTGTGGATCGACATGTTGAAAGAGCGCAACGTCGAGCTCCAAGTGGTCAGACGTCATTGGCCGAAAGTCGAAGCCAATCAGAGAAGAGAAGATGTGATCCACTTCAACTGCGCAACGTCGCTTCGTGCAGCACAAAAGGGGACCGACCAACATGGTGTGGCCGTGGACTGAGGAGTTCGCGCGGGCGGTGCAGAGCGGCTCGGGTTGGCGATAGCACATGCGATGGCTGTGCGGATTAATGCATGATGGTTAACCTGTTTGTGGTGGTGGTAGCTGATCTGGAGGGTGTCCAAGCTCGCGAGCAAGCTGCGGGCAAGATCAGGTCCATTGTGACCGAGGCGGCGGCGGTGGAGACTCCAAATGCAGAGCAAAATGACGGTATTATAAACAGAGACAATGTTGGGGAAGAACTACACTAATGTATTGGTGTCACTTAGCGATCTATCGGCTGTTGGATTCCTGCCGAGTGTTCATGCGGGACCGACGCGGCATCGACCAGTTGCTATCTGCAGAGGTACTAGTTCCATCACCATAGCCTACTAATCTGCACGCTAATGGCATTGGTGAAGGCACTGGATAGTTTCCTTGTGTTAGGTGAAGACCCGAGTTGGAGCCCACGCGTGCGCGAAGAAGCGCTCAAGTGCATGATTAACTCCGTCTACTCGCGGCCCGAGTTCGTGTCCGAGACGCTTATTGCAAAGGGGATTGTGACTCGGTTGCTCGGAATATCGAAGTGTGGAGGCACTGCGTCGCTACATTGGTTGGTTTGGAAAGTCTTGCTGGTGTCTTGTGAAGCGCCGGAAGTGCCTCGCTATTTGAGCACGTCACTCGAAGCCTGGCAGCTCATTCATGCGGTAATGTGGTGCATCGCCAGCAGACCGATGGCCACTCCAGCTAATGTTGCTGTGTGATATGCGTTTTGTAGACACTCTTTTACGCCTTCAAACATGGGAACCAGACAGGAATCGTCGTGGGCGACCGCGCAACTTTACTTCTTGACTTGGTCAGGCTGGTCACTGTGCTGGTAAATGACATGCAGTGGACAGCTGAACAGGAGAAACTACTTCCGGATGTATTCAATACCGTTCGCCAGTACGGTGCTTTAGATCTACAAACTGCATGGAATTAACTCACTGACCGAGTTTACTGGTACCTGCACAGACTTGGGGGACTGCTGTTGGAGATTCTCCGTTTCAAGCACCCGGAGATATCCCCGTTGAATGCCAACCTTGTCGAGCTCAAGAACAAGGCCATGGAGGTGTTCATGTTTCTGCCGGGGAGTCTCCTTGCCGCGTTCATTCAGCAGCAACACGGCGCGAATAAAGAGACCGGTGTAAGCGATGGATCTATGCTATCCCCAGTGATTGATCATCTACACGCAATGCTGTTGGTTGTTCGCATCGAGAAAACTCGGTTGGTGCGATCTTTTCATCCTTTGCCTACATTTTCTAGCTAACGTTGCAACTGTGTTTAGGCCGCTCAAAGAGATGCTGCCGACGCTGATTGTATGCCACAACATGGCCAAGACAGGGGATCCAGAGATTCTAGCCTGTTTCAAGAAGGCCATCCTCCCAGCAACCACGTCTGGTGATTTGGTTCCTATTGCGCCGCCTACGACAATTGACCGGACGAAGGCGTTCTTCTTCAAGCAGTTGAAGTTTTTCCTCACGTGCCTGGATACCGACGTCAGACGCTACGCCTCCGAATGGCTGTTCCTGCTCTGCAATGAGAACGGTAAGCTCTGTTCCCTGCTTGCCTTTAACCCATTATATTTTCTTGAGGGTTCGCCCTTTAACTTCATTTCAAAATCGCCACCCCGCCGAATAAAATAATAACGCTATCCATGTTATACTATATGCCCCCAGGAAAGGAATACACGCACCACACTGGAGTGGGGAACGCGATCGGGCTGCTTCGCATGAAAGGACTTGCGTAAGAGGTCGACAGCGGTTAAATATCCCCGACGCTGCCCATGGAAAGCATTCGCTGCTTGCGGATGTGGCTGCTCATACCCATTTCCTGTACCAGCTGGAACAAATCGCCCGAGTTCTTGATAAAGTATGGCGCCTGCGAGAGTTTCCGGCCCAGCGTGCACACGAATGTATTGACGGGGAAGCGATACCGCCCATCGTCAGGTTCATCGGTAGAGACCGATGTCGTTTGGCTTGCTAGCGCTTCAGTTTCCACAGTTTCTTTCTCCTCGTAAAGCTGCTTTTCAGAGATAGTCTTGTCCTTGTCGTCGATTTCGACTTGAGTCTGCTCCCCACCACTACCATCGCCCTCACCGCCATGGTCTGCTCTCGGAGGTGTAGCCAATGGTCCACTGCTGTAGGACGTGTTACCCGGAGAATCGTCTGCGGTTAAGCTTTGTAGGCCTGACGGTGGTGTAGTGCACACTTGGGCAGCATTCGGAGGACTTCCAGTTACGGATGCCTTCCCCTCTGACGGTGTAGTCGAACTGCCGCCACTCTGTGCTCCCGCGCCGTCTTCTAGTTTTGCGCGTGCAGTAGGAGGGCAAACAAGTGCCCAACAGGCTGCAGGGGTGTCTGGGAGTCTGTGAATTCCAAAGTTGTCGCCGTACTTCACCTTCATAGCCTTGAATAAAGCAGCAGACGGCGGGAAGTCCCGACGAGGAGTGAATTTACTCTTCTCAGTGATCTCGTCACGTCGCGCATTAGACGGCCGGTTGAGCATCGCCACAGGAAACATAGTTGCCGCGCCGTCGGAAATGGATGGCTTTGCCAAAGGTGTCAACTTGGTCATATTTTCTCCCAGCATGAGGAAATCTGCGTCATTAGGCTGCGAACTGAGTCGAGCCAACGACGCTGCAGCTGATAGACCTCCGCGCTCTCCAGGCGATCCTGCAGCAAGTGACGTCAAGCTGCCATCTCGTCCCAATAGACGTCTAAAGGCGTTGTACGACATGTCGTCACTGATATCACCAAAGCTGGAGGAACCGATTCCACCCTCGCTGTCGCCCGAGTCCTGGATAAAGCTTCGGCGATGACCAAATGAAGACGACGACGTATCTTCTGCCTCAATCTTCATCCCCACAAGTCCGTCTTGTTGCATTTGACTCTCCGACATATCGTCGAACTCGTCCTTCTCGAGCTGCCGGCAGTAAGCCTCCAAATCAATCGGCGGAGGGACCAGGAACGCGAACAAATCCTCATCGGTGCGGTCATCCCCAGAGGCGATAACCAGAACGAAATCGACCGGTTGTTTATCGTCCAGAACGTCCAACGAGCTTAGCGCCCCAGCATCCAAACTAAAACTTACAGAATCTTTCCTGCCGGCATGAATATAGTCACCGCCCGATTCCGATAGGTGTCGATCATCCAGGCTAAACTCCGGCATCTCGTCATCGGCTGGATTGTTGTAAAATCCACGCGGTTTCATCATCGGCGACGACTGCGAGTGCACCGGTTCTCCGAAGTACTCAGTCGTCACTGGATCCTCGCCCGGGAACAGCGTCGACCAGTTCATAAACTCCCAGATCCGCTCGAAAAGTGTCGCCTTGCTAACCTTCTGTGGTCGGACCTCAAGGTATCGATTTCCTGGGCACACCGACACCGGAAGCGCTCGTGTGATTTCACGCAATGAGACCAACAGCTCACTCGCCTGCCACAAACCGTGGTCCAAATCGCAATCGCGATAATGCCAAGCCACAGAGCTCTCCTTGCGCTCGATGTACGCGCCCGGGGTCCGTTCAGTGTAATACTCCAGCAACGGAACCACGTGCTCCCACCAACTCATGTCCATGTTGGGCACCATGCAGTGCCAATACTCATTTTTGCCGACCCACTTCACGTACACGCCGTACTCTGCTGCAAGAACGAGATTGCCAGACAAGCCGGCAAACCACTGTTCGCACACCGATGTGCTACGCGCGCTCACTAATACCACCGTGTTGCGCGGGTCCTTCGTCAGCATCGACAGCTGCCAGATGAGCTCTTGGGGCGGATAAGCCAGTTCCGGAATGGACGCTTCAGCCGCTAGCACACCTTCGTAGTTGATGAAGATCAGACGCCGCGACGACCGCGAGTACGCGGATGTCATATCCCGTCGACTCAACTCGCGTCCAGACACCGAGAGCGCGTTCTCTTCGCTGCATTCGTGAAGCTGCTCCAGGAAATTGTCCGCCCAATGCCACGACGTGAACGAACTCACGTAGCTGTACATGTGCTGGTGAGCACGCATCACTTCGTCGTTGTCCCGCAGAGATTCTTGCAGCGCGTCAGTGAGTTCTTCGGTATTCCATGGGTTCACCAGTCTTGCTCCGCCTAAGGACTGCGCGCAGCCGGCAAACTCGCTCAGAATCACGCGCGCATGCTTGCTTGTCGCCTCCCGGCAAACTATATATCCAAACGGAACAGTGTTCATGCCGTCACGGACCGGCGTGATCACTAACGCATCTGCCAGCGCGTACAACGCGATCAGAGCCTCCACTGCAATCTCTTTATTCAAATACTGCACAGGGCCTTCGGTACCGATATCTTGCAACTTGCTGTTGATACGTGACACGAGAGACTCAACTTGAGACTCGAGCGCCGACTCAAACACTGACGCACCCGTAACGATCTGCAAAAACACCACCTCCTTCGCGAGCTCCGGCTTCTGCGTGAACAGCTCCTCAACAGCCAGCAGCTTATGCACCAAACCTTTCGTCTGGTCAAGTTGATCTACACCGAGAATGACCTGTTTGCCGGCAAATTGGCTCTCGAGCTGCTTCATCTGCTCCTGCACCGAGTCCGACTGCACCATCGCAATGTACTTATCTGCGTCAATCCCCACGGGACAGATCGTCACGCGCGCAAAGTGTCCATTGTAGTCCACGCCCTTGTGACTGCTCTCCAGTCCGAGCAGGCGCACACACGCGCTCTGGAAATGCCGCGCGTACTCGTACGTCTGGAATCCAATCAGGTCGGCGCCTAATATCCCCGTCAAAATCTCCTCTCGGTTGTTGAGTATCCGGTACAGCTCCGCCGACGGGAACGGGATGTGCATGAAGAAGCCCAAGCAGATATTATCGTTCGGGAACAGGTTCTGCACCATTTGCGGCACCAGCGTCAAGTGATACCCCTGGATCCAGATCAAGTCTCCTTCCTCGTAAACTTCCTGCACTGCATCAGCGAACGCCTGGTTGGCAGCGACGTAGGCCTGCCACATTTTTTCCATACTGCGCTCATCCTCTTGTCCCCCCTCCATCATCTCGTGCTGGATAATCTGGTCGTCAGTCGTCGGCGGACACGAGTGGAACAGCGGCCACATGACGGTCTTGCAGAAGCCCTGGTAGTACAGTCGCTCGCGCTTCTCGTCCAGGAACACGGGGTAGTAGTTGCGGTCCTGCAGGAGCTGCTCCTTCAGCGTGTTCTGCTCGCTGGGCTCGATCTCGCCGTGCACGGAGCCGATCCAGACGCAGTCGTAGCTCTCGTGCAGCGACCGGAAGATCTCCATGGCACCGTTCAGACTCGCGTGCTCCGGGAACTCGGCACGCCACTGGGACTGCGCGTCCTCCGACACGAGCCAGAAGGGCAGCGTGCGCGTCACGAGCAGCACGCGGCGGCGGCGTCTCGAGCCTCTGCCGCCCGCGTCGTCGTCCGCGTCGACGTCTCCATCGGCTCCAGAGCCGCTCTCCTGCTCCGCCTTGACGCGCTTCTCGCGCACCTGGTTCAGCTTCGTGTAGAGCGCCGACAGCTCGCGCAGCAGCGCCGCCTCGCGCTCTTTGAAGCCCGCGCCGTCCGTCATATTGACTTATGCCTGTGTGGGTCGAGTTCTCTAGAATGAGAGAGAAGGAGAGAAGGAGCGACGAGGCGATTGCGACAAGGCGATGGCCGCGCAGCTGCAGCAACAACCTAGCTAGAAGAAGAACCAACGTAAGTAGTATCAATTGGCCGCCTTGCCTCGGGTGGGGTCCGGTACGCCGCGGGCGTGCGCGTCGGCCGAGCCAAGCGATGTGGTGGCGAAGTGGCTGCGGGAATGGTAAGCATGACTATTCTAGCGCATATACTATAGTGACATGCTGTACGAGAGGTTCAACTATCCGACGACGTTTCAAGCTAAGAGCACCGCGCTCCTCCGTCCTCCGACCTCGGCATGGGAGTCTCGAGCCAAACGCCTTCATTGCGAAGTTAGCGCGCTCAAAGGTCACTCCAACCGACTGGCGCTAGTCAAGCGATGGATGCTGCCTACCACCTACGACATCCAGTTTCGGGTGCTCCATGAGCTGATGCACGTGAACAGCAAGCGTTTCTTTCTCCAAACCGGACGCCGCGACCCGACCACCTGCCCCAGACAAGATTGCTACCAGCGCGAGAGTCTGGCCCGCTGCTTTCACCAACTCAGCAGGCGTGGTCTGCACTACGTCCAATCTGGTCCCTGCTACTCCGTTGCACGCCCTCCTGGTTGGGCTTTCTCCTCGGAACCAGAGCTGCTTCACTCGAGCTGGGCAGCGCACCACGAACTGGCATACGGCTTGTGGCTGATACTCCGCGGCATTTTCATGCGAGCCACCTGGATCAACCGAACCAACGACGCTTTCGGTCGGGAAGCTGCTAGCCCCAAGGTCATTGCTGCCGGCGTCAAGTCCTCCTTCATTGCCCATTTGCGCTGAGGGGGGTGTTTCAGCACCGAAAGAATCGGCTGTAGCACCTACACTTAAGTGAACACCACCACAGCAATACAAAAAAAGACCGACATAGCAAATATAGCATATCCACGGATGGAATAGGAGTTCGCACGTGTAATAACACCGACAGGAAGGGGTTCAAGCACGTATATTCGTTGCCTATGTACACATAGAGAAGTGATCGACTAGCTCATCAGATTCAACGCGATTGCCACCACGCATCAATCCCTCTGCGCTTTAAGCGCTCAGTACGGCAAACCCGCATGACCGACGGGGGTACGGCGGTAATTTGGCCAAGCTCGAGGACCCGACAGTCTCGGGCGATGTGGCCGTAACAAACTGCTGCAACACCTCCCTATCATGAAAACCAACTTCCGCCGTCACGCGCTAGAGTATCTTAATCATCTCACCCGTATTCACGCGTCGCTTGTCGTGCAGACTGTGAGAGACGCCCTTGGCGGGCGTCTCGACATTTGACGAGGATCCGTTTAACGACTGAACGGGGATGTGGTCGAGGACGTCCACGAACTTGTCATGTATGAGCGTCGTCACACAGACTAAAGCGGGATCAAGCCGCACCTGAGCGTCATCGTGTAGACAATCCTGCGCGCATACATGGCCTGGAATAAACAATAGATGAGAATGGTCAGGCGAACTTGTAAGGTTGGCCGTCGGTAAAACTTTAACCTGAATTTTAGTGAATATCAATGCAACGGTATATTGAGAGATAAGTAGAATGAATAAAAGATGCGAGCAAGCATAATTCCTCTAACGCTTAGCGATAGTTGTTCGTGCCCGCTTATCATTTTGTAAGCGAGACTCAATCGATCGCTTCGTAGGTTTTGGTGCGCGACGAGAGCGACGAACGCCGACCTGCACATTTGTGTTCATAGGGTTCTCCGATGTAGTGCTGCGCCCACCACCACGTGGACGCTCGACTTGGTCTGCCAATTCGACAACAGGACAAATAGTAAGCCCGCTTCGGACGTTTTCGGGCTCGCGGTCGTCCTGAGAGAGCTGGACCGAAAGTTGAATTGAGGCTGCTGGAAGAGATAGCTGAGTACTCGTACATGGCAAATCCGACACCGCATCCTGCGTACTGTCGTCATCACGCCCATCGTTCTGTTCTACCTGCTGTACAGCAGGGGCCGGTTCGCGATAAATAGTTTGCAGAAGCTGCCGTTCAGTATCGGGTTCAATCGTACTGCTGCCTGCAACCTGATCCAGTTCTTGGGTTTGTTGCAGTCCTTGGACGCGAGTAGTGGGGGTATCTTCGGCGGCACCCGCTCTGACACCATCCAGAGCATTCGCGTCAACTACAGCTGCAGATTCCACGCGCACCCGATCTGCGCGATGACGCGGGTGCACGAACTGCCTGCCATTGTTGCCTACGCCTGGCATATGCACGCCTGCATGGATACACGCTGCAGCAAGATGACAACAGGCATCGTTTTTCTCGAAATATGGGAAAGGTCAAGCCTTGCTGCGGACATCAATAACCCAGCCCGCAGCGGGCATGCCTTCGAGTTGCTTGCGCCTTGTATTGGCGGATTTAATTGACTGCTTCACCGACTTCTTCTCTGTGGCGGTTAGAGCCAAAGGCCGATGCAGGACGCGGTACAAATCGGCCTGGACAGTCCCAATCGGAGGCAGACGCTCTACGGAAATGCAACCTCGGCGACACAAAAGCCGGTACAGGAGCAGGAGCCTTTCTGAGGCTGTAGGATAATTGCAAAAAACAACATTTCGATGCAGAAAAGCAAGCCGCACACCATTAAGACTCTTGATCAATTCATCGGGCGTATGCTCATTGCTTGGGCACTCCAGTTTCAAACGCCGATGATACTGCTCAAGCGGATTATTGGTCGCAGCATATCCTCGCGGGGTGTAGAACGCCTGCCATTTAGCAAAGCGCTGGGTCTCAATCCACTGCTTTGTCACATGGTCTGTAAGTTTGCGGACGGCAGATTCTGCTGCTAGTCCCCTCCACCTCCCCAAAACCCGCGCTTTTACAGCTTCAAAATCCGGCCGCAGTGCACAGTGCCTGTCATAGAGATCTTCAAACACAGCTGCCGTGTCGTCGTAGGAGACGCGGAACTCCGCTGCGTACTTCCACACGTTCTTAGTGACATGGAACCAACACATTAGAACGGTAGAATGGGGCAGCTCGGTCACGGATGCATTGAATTAGGCTTTGTCAGCGTCCATCATCACGTACTGAGGGGCGAAAGGTACATCGCAGATATCCACACAGACCCGTTTAATGTAGCGAAGACACCAGCCGATACCCAGCTTCCGCTTCTGGGATGTACAGAAGTAGGCTAGCGGCACAAAGTGGCAACTTTGATCCGAGTAGCCAAATGCAAAGACCGAGTAGCCATGGATGGCCCTGCTAGGGGTACTATCGACATGCAGAATCGTTGTAAAGTCACTGCGATTCTGTACCGAGATGTAATCGCGGATTTGCCGAATGCACGTCATCCCAACACGAAACGGGAATGCCTCTGATCCATCTCCTAAGCGCGACACAATGCTTGTGCTTCCCGGTCGCGCATCCGGTTGCGTGTCGCAAAGGATCATCATTTCAAACTCGTATAATGTCGCTATATCTTGTTGCTCGTAGAGGTGGCCATTGCAAATCTCGATTGTAGGCGCCATTTCGTTCTTAGGATTTTTCCGTCTCCAATTTTTCACAAAGTCCACAACCTGCTGGTCTTCGGGCGGGGGCCCACGCATGTCACCTTCGTGCACCATGCTACAGATAACGTCAAACAAACGCGAAGCCGTCGTTTTCACACCCGAGCTGAGCTGCTCCACTATGAAGGTCTTCATCTCAGGTGTTAACTTGCGCACGATGGGGCTGGAGGACCCGTCGACGTCCGCCAGGTGGGCGTCGCGCTGAAAGACCTCCTGCACATCGGACGATTGGCAATTCTTGAACTTATATCGGCATGGACAGTCCCCCGGGGCATCAATGGCTGAGTCATTCTCGTCATCGTCTTCAGAGCGATGAGGATGGCATCGCCGCGATCGGCACTTTGTAGTCTGAACTCGCATCTTGTGCATGGCAGTAGCGAGAGCGTAGTTCTTGTTGAGTAGATGGTCGATTGTGCAGTTTGTACGGTCACTCCTCTTGATGCTTCGCCTAGGGAGGGTATCACGAAAGGCTTCAAACGCCTCAGAGGCGGTCGCCGATGCCCAGATCTTAGTCCACCTTGGTGATTCAGCCTCATCTGCGCTGTCGGAGTCCGAAGAAGGTAGAGACCCCAGGGTGTCGGCTGCGTTTTCCTCACGGCCCTCCATGGCAAGTTGCTAACTGCTAAAATGTAGTGTCCCGTCGCCAACAAGTGGGTGGCTGCTCTATTTTAGTCGGTGTTTTTCATTATTTTTTAGGTGGTGCTTCCTATCTATACAGTTGGTATCCCAACACAATTTCTAGGTGCTGCTACACTTTTTATGGTTACACAAAACACTGAGTGACGGTGTGTAATCTCTCCACTCATTTGCGCTCACTCAACCGTCGACGCCACATGATCAAGGTCGACACAGCCACTCTGTACTCCTTCATCCAGCGCCTTGTCTCCGGCCCTGAGGATGACTCGACGAGCCGCTGCGCGGATACTCCACGCCCCAGAGTGCCGCTCTGGATCGCCCATCGTTAAGTTGCATATTTCCGTACTTATGTAGTCAAATCAGCATCAAACGAGGTCCACCCGTAATAGAACTCCTTTCAAGTCAAGTCAAGAAGGAAGAGCTCGTACTGCGGTTTACTGTTACAGTGCTGCTGAGCTTTGAGTTCGTGGATATAAGGCCATCACCATGATATCTTGGCCGCGTTCTTTATGGTATAGATTGAGCATGGGCGGAGTTAGGCATTCGAGGCATGGGAAGAAGGCGGCGTTTTCGTTTTGGGCGGACGCCGTGACAGTTTCTAATGTATTATCTAGTTGTTAATAAAAAAACATACAGAGGGCGGCTCGAGCAATGGCGGCGGCCCCTGTGCGTGCGTGCGAGTCCTCTTTCCTAGGACTCGGCCGACATGGACTGGGATGAGTAGATGGCTAGGGGGTTACATTTGCGAGACGAGGTAGTAGAAGACGATCATCATGAGCAGGATGAGCGACGCGCCCAGGATCGAGAACATGAGCTTGCGCTGGCGCCGTCGCCGGATCTCCTCGAGCTCCGAGAGCAGCAGCACCGTGGGCACGAGCTCCAGGTCGGGGCGCACGCGGTACAGCGCCGCCTTCTCCTCGATGGTGAGGCGGCGCGGCATGCAGCGCGCGGCGCACGAGCCGTCGAGCCTCCGCTTGGTGTTCTCGTCCTCGTCGCTGTCGATGTCGAGCGCGAACTCGACCGAGACCTGCTTCTTGAGGCTGCTGCGGCACGACGAGATCCGCAGGATGGACTGCAGCGAGCCGCCGGTGCTGCTGCTGGCCGTGCAGCTGCCGTCGCTGTCGCTCTCGGTCTCGCTCTGGTTGCTGTGCTGGTCGGCGTGCAGGGGCGTGGCCGGCATGGTGCCGTACATGGCGCTGAGCTGGCGCGATTCGGGCTTGAGCGCGTACGACACGTAGCCCGCGCGCTGGTAGTGCTGCTGCTGCGACGTGGAGCCTGCGCTGGGTTTGGCGTACGCCATGTCGCGTTTGGCGGCATTCTTGGCCTCCAGCGCCAGCAGCGGGAGGACCTCCTCGGCCTCCCGCATGCGCGAGTCGGATCTGCCGGTCATGGGGCGGAGGTGGAGCGATGGCAATAGCAAGGCAAGGCGCGCGAACGAGATGCTAGCGCCTGCGGCCAGATATTCACTTGTGCCGTACTCGGCCCACTCCCGGTCGGTCCCTCAACCGCCCAAGCGCCAGCGATCCTAGGGTCAGCCGTCTGTCATCTTTCCATGTACTTGGCTCTGATTCGGCAACTCAGATGAGAGGCAATACTGAACGCAAGTCAGGACGGCAGTTAGTCGCCCCCTCAACCCGCAACCCAGTTTTTCGAAACCACGCGGCGCAGAAACAGGCGCAGCCGTCGCAGCGCTAAAAACGAGGGAAAACGGCGTTGACGCGGAGTGCTGCGGGCAAATAGCATCGAGGTGATAAGAGCGTCGATGCTCTTATCGGCGTCCTGAGGCCGACTGCGCTGCGGTGCTCAGCGTGGGCGAGTTAACTGCGAGTACTGGCGCCGCCAGGTGCCGTGTTTATCCGGGGGTCCTCTCCCACTTGTGGGGTTTTGTGAGGCCATGCGCAGAGACCGGGCAAAAGATCCTTTCGCCAGCTTCAACGTGCGCACGAGATCAGGCGATGGCAAGCGAGGGCACCAGCACCGGCACCAAGGGGGGGGGGGGAATGCTGGCGCTGCAAGGCAAGGTAAGAGCAAGATGCGGCACGTTTCGCCCATGACAAGCAACAGAACGTGCAGGCTCGATGTAGGCTAGCTGCTGCGCTTATAGCGTCGTCCGCCATGCTATCGATGCCCAACATGGCGCTGGTCGTCGACACCAGGAAGATCTCGGTAACGGCTTCGCGTTGAAGATGGCGAGTGAGCGTGGCGAGGCACAAGGCAACGCGGGGCTCAGTCTGGGCCGCAGGCTTGTAGCAAGCGGTGCCAGCTAGCGGCGTCAGTGCAGGTCGAAGTGCTGGTGTAGAGGGAGCAACGGTGTCGATGGCAGCGTTTGTCATCGGTAGGCTTTCGCGTCCCACGGTGTCGGACGCGCGCGATTTCGGTGGAGCCATGCTTATCAACTAGAGAAAGCTTGCTGAGCTCTATCAATACTAGAGCTAGACACTGGCTTGCCGATATGTGTTTTAAGCTGCTATGCTGATGGCAGCAATAATGCCAATCGGTAGGATGATTTGTTGGTGCTTCTTAAGCATAAGCTGCTGTGAAAATACGGTGGCGCGTGTGCTCGCCGAGTCGGGATTTACCCCATTGGTAACAAGACAATGTACTAATGGCATTGAGTGTGTATTCGGGATTTCCTCCCTATATGTAGCTAGTAGAAGGTCAGGTGTCGTGTTTGTCCTGCCAACACGCCCATTGGAAATCGCGCTCCTGGTGCCCTATGCTGTGTAGACCTTGAGCACGCGTTGAACGGATGCCGAATACCGATCGCGCACGTATAGGACGTTGTCAGCGGCCGCTGCCATCCCCCAGATCACTTCGAATGGGCCGCTCGCAACGGAAGTAGTGACCTCCTTGGTAATGAGATTAAGTCTACGGATACAGTAATTTGCTTTGTCCGCGACGTATAAATCACCATCGGAACCAATAGCTAGAGCGTCTGGGTGATAAAATCTCGCGGAAGTACCAGTGCCATCGACGAGCCCGCTTGAGGTGGATCCGGCCAGCACAGTCATCGCACCGCCCGACGTAAATTTCATCACCCGATTGTTGTCCGTGACGTAAATGTTATCAGACGAATCGGTCACAATGCCCGAAGGGTTGGATAGACTGGTGCTGAATGTGCTGGACACGCCCTTCGAGGTAATCTTGGTTATCTTGCCATTGTAGTAATCCGTGACGTACACGTTACCGATAGAATCCACAGCAATCCCGTGAAAACTCAATGGGGAGGGATCCGTGTAGAGCGTACTGACCGTGTTTCCAGAAATCTTGCTCACTTTGTAATAGTCACAAGCAAAGAGATCACCGCTGCTACTCATTGCAAGGGAACTAATTGAATTAAACCTTGCGTCCAGCAGAACGCCATCCACGTCATTCATATCATCACCACTACCAGCGTATAAGGTAAGTTCACCGTCATCGCTCATTTGAAGGATGCGGCTACCATCACTCAAGAAAATAGGATTCCCCTGTCGGTAGCCAGAACCGACGCGTATCGATACTTGCACACTTCGGCGCTTGAACTCTTAGTTGAAGATGAAGAGGATAGACGTGAGCTAGTGCTTGAGTCAATACTTGTAGTAGAGGACAAATTCGACCCGTAAATCTTGCGCACATGTTGATCGGACGCTGACATGCTGTCGCGCTCGTAAACGAGATTGCTATGATAGTGACAACTGTAATTGCCCACATTCGCTGGAACAAGGCGCTCGTAGCGACACCGTCTGTAGCGCCGCTGGAGGTGCATGTGCCAGCATACGTTGTAACCTCTTTGGTGGTAAGTCTAACTTTGCGGATATAGTAGTTTCCTACGTCTGCTACGTACAGATCAGCATCGGAACCAACAGCCAGAGAGCGTGGTTTTTTAAAAAACACAGCGTCGCCATAACCATCCGCATATCCGCTTACCCAGTACTGGTACCCGGCCAGCACGGACATTGTACCGTCCGAGGTGAAACTAAGTAATCTTCGTTATTACTGTAGTATACCATTATCCTGGTAGTGCTTCGGTTACGAAGTATGGACAGCCCAACCAGGATAAATTCGATGCACCTGATATGTGGCGCACATGAAGTAAAAGTATACTAAAATCAAGTAAAGTCATTTAATAATTTCAGAAATCGCATGGTTTCTTGAAATTCACGGAAAAGTAGAGTTTTTACTGGGATAGGAAGCAACGTTAGTGCTGCTATCGCAGACCAAATAGGATTATATCCGTGGTACGTCAAGTCAAACGATGACCCCTCTTGACATCTAACTGGTATATCTTCGTGAAACCGGTACGACTCCGGTGGCCCTCCAAAATGTTTATATGCGTGGGCAGATTGAACCGGTACGATACCCATCACCTACGAGAGCTGGCCTTCACTAGTATGGATGCCATTTTGAAATCGTAAGTGGACTCTACAAAGTGCAGCGCTTGAACCCTGGAGAATAATGAGAAACCATCATCGTGCAGGTGTTGTAGGAATTGAATGGATATACCAATCCTTAAACCCATTCACAAAAGTCAATAAACAAACAACCCGTGCTGGTCCGTGATGGCGTAGACGCACAACAGCATCATGCCCGTTGCGAGTGACTCCGTGTACAAGGCGGCGAGGTCGTTGACGACGGATCTTGGATACGTCGCGAAGTAGGACTGCATGGCCTCCTTGTTCGTGTATGCCATGAGAATCTTATGGTAGTTGGGCAGGAACCGACGGTATTCGTGGACAGAGAACCATGTCAACCTGGAGGTCAGCGAGGTCATTATGAGGATGGCCCCGCACGGCTTCGACAGCGTCCACGAAGAAGGAGCCTATTTGCTCATGGTGTAGCTGTAGAAGATGCATTATTGGAAAGAGGGAGGCAACTGGTTAAGGAGAGCAGTGGCTGCGGCGGGCTAAAGTATACTCGCCGTGCTATTGAGCTATCGTTTGCTAATGAGAAAAGAAACACTTAGCCTATACATTGCAGATAAATATTTTGTTGTGATATTTATCGGGTCTGCATTTTTCCTGGATGTGTCAGCGCAAACTGCCCGTGCTTGAAAATACCGAGAAGACTGGAATGAGGAGCTAAATGGTCGCAGCGTGGTCAACGATTACTTGCAAGTATATCTCCGACTTTGGCTCTCTGACTGATTTTGAAAGATGGGCGTGTTCCTTTTAAAGATCACTCAGTCTCTTAAAAAAAGAAACTGAGGGTCTGTTTACGAGAAAAAAAGAAGGGTTTTGACGATGGAGAGTCTGTTCTCTTAGATCAGGTTACAATTTGATTTGAAGGCATGGCGGCAGGACAGCGTCTAAAAGGGGGGCGTAATGCTAAGCGCCGTCAATCCCGAAAACAGGAGACTGCGTTGCAGCGCGAGGAGAGACTCAGTAGCGCGCGTGTTGCAGCGCAGCGACGGAGGGAGCAAAAACGAATCGAGGAACGAGAAAAACTCCAGGAATTGAGTAGTCACGCTCTCGACGCCGTTAAGTTCTCACGAGAGGACATCGAACTCGTTGCTGCTGGGCAGCAGTACACAAAAGACCCTCGACTGGCCTTGATTTACTATTACTGCTGCGGGCCAGATCCACGCGGGTTTGTTTTTGGTGACGAGCAGTTGAATGGTGAGAATGGAGAGGAGGCACAGAACCGTCTTAAAGATATGTTTAGCGATTATCCGAAACCTGAAAATGTTGGCGCTTGTCAAAAATTAACATCTGAGTTGGAGTCCGAGGCAGTAGATATCTGGGCTTGCGCTTCGTGTGGCAGAATTTTACTGGGTGGTGGTGGTTCTGATAAGGTGGTGGTCAAATCACTGGTGGATTTACCCCCTCGTTTAAGCTGACGGATGAAGAAATACGTGTGCTTTTTGACGATGTCCCTGATTCTATCGTGAAACAATACCGGCAAGTCTGGTTTGATGGTGACGATGTGTATTTTTTTTGATTCCTGAGTTGGTTAAGGACACGGACCGAATTCCTTTCTGCGTTAAGTGTAGTTCTGATCCGCGCAAAAGCCCCTTTAGCGTGGCAAGAGGACACGACTATGGACGTATCCAGAATTTGCCTGATCTGAATGACATAGAGCAAAGCTGCATTGCTCCTATCCGTTGTTTTGGCACGGAAATTTCTATATCCGGCAAGCATTCCAGCGGGCACACGATTTGTTTTCCGTCTGACGGACCAAGTAAAGTTGCGGAAGTACTTCCACGCTCCGATCCGGATTGCATCCCCCGTGTTACGTTCGTTGCACCGCGCGAGGAATGGCGGATCCTGTAACAGGGTTACACGCACAAGTGGCTACAGTCACTTGTAACTCTAACAGATACGACGTCTGTTAGAGGTTCGAAAGACTTTCTCGACCTTGGTGTAGACATACCAAAGGCTGCATACATTTACGACCACCACGACGGGTGGTTCATAGAGACGTAGGATTCCTATTGGCTGAGAGCAGCATCTTTCAGCCAATGAGCGACATGCATAGCATTGGAATTCTGCCAACCAGCTGTTGGCAGGCTCCTATCTTAGAATATTACATTTAGAGGACGTCAGACACATAAAACAAAAATAGCAGTTCTCATTTTAACCCAAAAATATTATTTGGATCGTTCATTTAGATTAATCTATACTCGGAGGCCCGAGTATAATTAACTCTAATTTAAACTAAGCTACGCTTCCCCACATACACGCGCACACGTGTAAGCTAAAGTAGTGAGGCAAAGTAGGCCCATTACACCTGGTAGCACTTTGTAGTCCGTCCAACGACCGACTACCTGAGTTCGTACATCACCGCACGAACGCGGAGCGGAGAACCTTCCCATGGATACAGAGATGCCCATGGAAAGCTCCACTACGCGTGCAACTCACGTTGCACGCGCTGACTGTCCCCACCTGTCGGATCCAGAGTGGGAGGCGCTTCAACGACTGTCAACAGTCATTGGTGAGGCGGCTGTAGCGTAGCTACGATGCTGCGTACGCTAACGCCGACAGAGCAACACGGTGTTGCTCTGGGTTTCATCCTGAAGGAGCAACGCGATGTTGCTGCTACTACCGCGGTGTCGTCCGGGACGACACCACGCGCGCAATCGCTGAAGCTCAATGTGAGCAACTATGTCGGAAGAGAGGGTGAACCTTTCCTCCGTTGGCTTGTTGAACTCGACACTGCCATTGCGGCTCGACGTATCGTCGACCCGTTGTCGAAGGTTGCGTTCGCCATGTCATGTCTTGGCGGACGTGCAAGAAGTTGGGCGTATGGACGCCGACTCTCGGATCCTACGTGCTAAAGCACGTAGGAGCGTTTCAAGAAAGAGCTCAGACAAGCATTTGAGCCACCGCAAAACGAGTTCCGGTCGAGGGCGGAGTTCCTCGACCTGCAGCAGGGCAAGCATGATGTCCATGCTTACGCTCAGAGAGCACGGTACTTGGTCTCGAACATCGTGACCAATCCGATCGACGAGGCGACCAAGGTCGTCACGTTCATGAAGGGACTGAGAGATGGGCCTGTGAAGACCTACCTCTTCCGTGAGTACCCGAGTACTCTCGAAGCTGCAATTACTCTTGCAATACAGGAGGAGTTTAGCCTGCGGCAGGCTAAGCTGCATGCACATGTGCCGAGGCCACAGCCACGCCCGGTAGTGAGGACGGGAGGCCCAGAACCCATGGACCGCTCGAGTGCTGCAACTGCTGGACCCCAGCAGTCGCAGGGAAACAATGTGCGATGCTACCGTTGCGGTAGAGTCGGTCACTTTGCTCGGGAGTGCACGGCCCCCGTGCACCAGCAGGGTGGCTATTGCGGCGGTGCCGGGCACCGTCGCAACCAAACAAAAAACGCTGGACGCCAGTAGGCGCGGGGCGCCCTACTGGTAATGCAGTTCCGCGTGTCGACCTTGGACACGCGACACTGAGGACTGCAGCCCCCAGTGAGGTTCATTCTCACTGCAAGAACCAAGATGACAAGCCTGACCTTGTCATCCTGAATGTGAACTCGATGAGAGCAATCGGCTCTCTCCGTGCTTTGGTAGATTCTGGCGCGTCGAAGAACTTTGTTCGACTGCGAAGTCTATCAAGGCTTGACATCGAGGATATAAAGATACCTCGAAGTATGTTGGAAGTACGACTGGCAACGGGTGCCGTCGTGAAGACCGAGAAGCGCATGGTACGCGTGCGCTTCACGTATGAAGATCAAGAGTTTGTCGAGACCTTTATTGTCCTGGATCTGGACGATATGTTTGACGTTGTATTGGGCATGCCGTGGCTTGCACGGAATGATCCGGTCATCGATTGGGAGAAGCGCACTCTCGTGCGCTTCGGTCGTGACAGCGGAACAGTGAGCGATGGCCCTGTTGCCGCTACGCACGCACCGACAGTTGCCACGCGACTCCTCACTCGAGACAGCGCCTAATGCCGCTGTCCCGGAGTGCCCTGGGCGCGCGCGAGCACGCGCGCAAGAGCAGCTAGCGTCGGCGTTGCTGCCGACAGCTAATGAAGGAAATGTGTTGACCTCGGAGGTCGACACCCGCTTTTCAGCGAATCAGGAAGAGTCTCCGACCTCAAGGGGAACGGATGACGCAGGCGAGTCACACGCCTTAGCCGTGGAGGCTGGCGCGAATCTGATTGGATCAGTTTTGGCCAATAATAAGAGCCAAGGTGACGTAACGCCGTCGACTCCGGGAGTCGATGGCTTGGGTGAATTTGATTCGTCGGCTCGGGGAGCCGACGCACCCTCCGTAATGGAGGGCTCCGCCAATGACAGGCGTCGAGGTGAAGATGGCGTGTCGTCTCCGGGAGCCGACGCTGCAAGCGGTGCGGACGGTTGCAAACGTCCCGCACCGGAAAAACTTGCATGCTGTCGTGCAGCCGGGCTGCACGACCAAGCGCCGGGCGACCAAGCCGGGCTTGAAGTCGCTCGCCCGCGGGATGAACCCGCCGGCGGTATTGAAGAAGAACACCCGTCCACGGCAGGGCCTGGACGAGGTCAAGAACCAAGCGGAGCCGGGCTCCGCAAAACAAGAAGACGGCGCATGCGAAGGTCGCTGCGCAAGTCTCGGCCTGGGGCCGAGACGCTACAAGGAATGTCTGCCGGGCAGACGGAGGCTGAGAAGCCGGACGTCGAGACGTTGAACGTCTTGACGCGTACCTGTGCCGGGTTCCGGTACAGGGAGGTGACTCTCGCTAACCCTCCGACGCAAGCGTCGGAGTTGACTTCGCTTCCAGTCATGAGCTGGAAGCGCTTCGCGCGTGACTTGCACGATGGACGCATCGAGCAACTATGCATTCTCTCGGACGCCGAGAGAACGAAGAGCGAGAATGAAGAACTGAGGCAGTTCTTCATGGAGAGCACCACTGAGAGCGAGGACACTCTCAGTGCGAAGACGAAGAAGGAGCGCTTTGAAGAGCAGAGCTGGGACTCGTTGGAGACGAGTCCCTACTACGAGATCTTACGGGAGTACGCGGACGTACTTCCGGAGGAGATCCCTGCGGAGCTTCCGCAGGATAAGGGCATCCAGCACGAGATTGATCTCGTGCCGGGGACGAAGTACTGTGTCACGCGGCAGTGGCCACTGCCGCGAGAGCAGGTCACGGCGATCGACGACTTCTTTGAGAGTCGTCGCAAAGCTGGACAAGTGCGGGAATCGAAGTCCCCGCACAGTGCTCCGACGTTCTGTGTCAAGAAGCCACAGGGCGGCTGGCGCATCGTTCATGCGTACAACAAGCTGAACGATGCGACGATACCGGCGCAGACACCGATACCGCGAAAAGATCTCATCATCGATTCGATGGCCAGGAGCACTATCTACAGTGCTCTTGATCTGCGCGATGGGTTCTATCAGATCCTCATGCGTGAGAGCGATATCCCTCACACGGCTGTGAGCACGCCGAGCGGCATGCTCTGGGAGTGGCTAGTGATGCCGCAGGGTCTGAAGAACGCCCCTGCGACCTTCAACAGGTGCGTAACGCACTTGTTGCGCTCGGTGCGCGACTTCGCACCGAGCTACTTCGACGATGTGTTCGTCCACAGCCGGGCTGCGGACGGGATGAGCGATGTTGAGATGTACAAGGTGCATCTCCGGAAGCTGCTTGCGCTCATGCGCAAGCACAAGCTCTATGCGAACCTGAAGAAGTGCATCTTCGGGGCGAGCGAGATACCCGTGCTCGGGTGTCTCGTTGGGAAGAACGGTGTCCGCCCTGACCCTGAAAAGGTCAGAGTGATCAATGAGTGGCCGACGCCGTCGAACGTCAAGGAACTGCGGCAGTTCCTTGGCTTGGCCACGCACTTGTGTAAGTACGTGAAGGACTACGCGGGCATGATATGCCCGCTGTCACAGCTCCTGAAGAAGGACGCCGAGTGGGTTTGGACTGCTGAGTGTCAGCAGGCCTTCGATGCAGTCAAGCAGGACTTGACTGAGGCGCCGATCTTGGTGGTGGCCGACCAAGATCGCCCGTTCCACGTAGTGTGCGACGCATCCGACTTCGCAATCGGATGTGCGTTGATGCAGCACGATCACGAGGGTCGTGATCGTGTCGTCTACTACCAATCGCGTCAGCTGAAGCCAGCTGAGCGCAACTACCCGGTGCATGACAAGGAACTCCTTGCCATGAAGTACGCACTCGCGAAGTTCCGAGTGTATCTACTCGGAAGCAAACCGTTCGTGGTCTACACAGACCACGCGTCGCTGCGGACGGCTGTGAAGTCGCCGCACATCTCGCAACGGATGGCGAGATGTGTAGTGGGCCTACCTTGGCTCACTACTACGGCTTACACGTATGCGCACGTGTATGAGGAAGCGTAGGTTTCTTTTACTTGAGTTAAGTATACTCGAGATCCACGAGTATACTTTAAACAAGA